CTATCTTGTATAATAACACACGCGCCTCTATACATCAGTGTAGTCTCATCATCGAGTGATTGCTGGCCTGTGGCGTATGACCTCGCGCGCATATCACCAACGACGAGCATGCGAAGATAGGGAACAATATCTTGTACCGCCCGCTGTGCTCCCCGCTGTGCCACGGCATATGATGGGCTGTGAGAGCCGTATCTTCCCCCCTTGAAGCAGAGGCGCCGCGAGGCACGAGAGGCGTAGAAGAGAGGCTGGCGTGCCCCGCACCTCCCGGTTGGCAGTAGGAGGGCCCGCCGGTGAGACCACTGATTTTGGCTGATTTACGTATCGTCTAATACGTCATCGCACCTCCGCCATGTGAGGACGGCCTTGTGCGAGCGCTGTCGTTTGAGAACGAAGCGGCCGGAGTGTTCTGTTGCCTTCAAGACCTATTTCCTGAGGCAGCTCAATCCCTTGGTGAGGGCGGTCGTGTTCGTCACGGCCGGGTCGTGCATGTACCTGGGCGACGTCCGTCGGACTACGGTCCGCCATCTTTAGCAGGTCTTTGATCGGCTTCAAATCGTCCTCCTTGACGCCGCTCGCGATGTTGGTACAGTACGGGCGAGGTCGAGTGTCTCGGTCATGGTTTTGAAGAGGGAAGTCGTGCGTCCCGCCTCGAGCTGCAGATCCCGGCCGGTCACATTCGTGTACGTGTCTCGCTGATACGCAAGGTACTGTCCAGTTTTGTGGGGAAGTCGGAGCGGCTCAGAATGCGCATGCCGAGGATCGAGTCTGACTAAAAGCGCACGGGGTTGGTGCCGCCGACCGTCGGGAGGAAGCCGAGGAGTGCCAGGAGGATCCAGAGGGCGCCGACGGTGCCGACTCCGCCGCAGAGAGTGGCGATTGAGGCCAGGCTGTGCGCGTGGGCCGGTCGGGCGCGGTCCTGCGGCGGGCGACCGGGCGCCGCACGGCTGGCCCCGTCGGCCGAACGGTCCCGGCGATGGCGAGCTGCTCGACCGGCCAGATCGGCGCCCTCATGGCCGAGTCTTTCTGCGAGCGCATCCTCAGCTGCGCCAAGCAGGTGGTGCACAGTGCCCGCCTCAGTTACAAGGCGGAGGAGTACTCGATGGTGGTGATTCTCCGCATGAACCGCGCCTTTCATGGAGTACATGCGCAAGCACGAGAAGGACTATGAGCCCGGCAAGTAGGTTGGTGGGGGCGGTTCACGAACCAGTTCTCGCGAACCCAGTTCGCGAACCGCCGCGCGAACTTGGTGGGGGCGGTTCACCGCCGGTTCGCCAGACTCGGTTCGTTCACGGTTCACGGTTCGCGGCGGGTGTCGCGGGAGGAGTCGGTTCACGGATCACGGTTCACAGACTTGGGGTGGGGGCTAGTCGGTTCACGGTTCGGGGTTCACGTACTCGGGGCGGGGGCTAGTTGGTTCACGGTTCACGGTTCACAATTCCGGCGTGAACTGAGAGGGCTGGCGGCGGAACGCAGAGCAACGAGGTCTCTTGGAGCAGAGCCCCGGTGTCCCCCCCCCGTACGGCGCCCTCGAGAGGGGTACCCTGGGTGGGCGGGGCCTCTACTCGCCAGGCGTTTACTGAGACGGGCGTGTTTTTGCGTGAACGCGGCAAGAATATGCGCGCGACAAGAAAATCCGCGAGCGAGGCCAGAAAGGGGGGGGGCGGGGGGGCCTGATTAGAGCAGCTCCAGGTCGGCAGAGGACGATGGCCTTCGGGGAGGGGCTTGAGGCCGCGCACCATTTCTTTCCCTTCCAGAGACGCCGACGAAGGGCAGACAGGAGCGCTTGTGTGAGCCCAGCGTGAGCTGCCTTTCGCCCATCGCCGAAAGGCGTGGCACTGCGTCGCGACGCAACATGGTATCCACCAAGCTGATCGATATGTACAGATCGCAGGCCGAGAAGGGTCGGCAAGAACGCTACACCAAGTGCTTTGGAGCGGCAATGCTCGGCGTCCTGTTGCTCGTCATACTCAACGTCGAGAGCAGCCAAAGGACGCAAGACGCTGAGAGCAGCCAGACGCGCCACCACGTGCACGACCTATTCTCGGCGCTGCGCTCGCATTCTCCGCGTCCGCCGCTGCCGCCACCGTCTCCGCCGCCGCCGCCGCCGCCGCCGCCGCCGCCGCCGAGCCTACCTCCGCCGCCGCCACCCAGCCCGCCTCCGCCGCCGCCGAGCCCGCCTCCGCCGCCGAGCCCGCCTCCGCCGCCGAGCCCGCCTCCGCCGCCGAGCCCGCCGCCGCCGCCGAGCCCGCCGCCGCCGCCGAGCCCGCCGCCGCCCTCGCGCCTCTGCTGGCTACATGCGCGCTGGTGCGACCCTGCGGTTCCACCCCTGCTGCGGCGGCCGTTCGATCAGCAGGCGGCCGCGCAGAAAGGCGCCCTTCAGAAGCAGGGCGAGAGGCAGGCGCTTCAGAGGAAGGTGCAGCGAAAGGTGGTGCTCGGGGTCGCGACAATCCTCGTCTTCGCCGCGGCCCTCCTCGTCGTGCAGGTGGCCTCCCGCCTCCTGCGCCGAAGGAGGCATGCCCATCTGCGGGTGTACTCGCTTGCGCGGGCAGAGGACTGGTCAGACATGGCCGCAGACGCAGAGTCCTCCGTCGGGATGTGGGAGCGTGAAGTCACGTGACACGGGTTGGCGGTTGGGCTTGGGGCCCCGTGCCGCGTGCGCACGTGCACGTGCACGCATCTTGAAACTCGACAAACGTCCTCAATTGGAGTACTTTACAGAAAGGTTAAAGCGGACCCCGTGTGTGTATGCATGGAACCAATTACCAATACCCTTTTTATTACATCTTACAATGACGGAGAATGAGAGTTGAGAGATGCAACGAACTCGGAACTGCACACTCCACCGCACACAACCGGTTCAACCCCCCCCCTCGAGCATGTCACCCCCCCCGCGCCCGCGTCTCGGATCCCCCACCCAGAGTACAACTCAAGGCAAGGCTCGGCTCTGCACACAGCAGCGCGAGCTGCACGCTCTCTATCTCTCATCTCCTGCCCTAAAAAGTTCAAAAGTGAGTGCGTGTTCCTTCCCACATTCCGTCTTCATGCCTCATGGTGCCGCCACAACGATGACCTTATCGCCAATGGAGCGGGCGGGTGGCTCGCCGTCCTCTTCGAGGGGCGCACACAGGTAGCAGCGCGTCGCTTCTCCGACGGCCAGCGTCAGGGCGTGGAGGTACTTGAGGATGAGGACAATCAGGCCGATGTAGCCGCCGATGAGGCCGACGAAGGCGTAGTAGCTCGTGGTGGTCCACTCGTGCTCCACAATCTTGAACGGCGCCGGCGAGACCTTGAGCTGCAGGCACGAGCCCGCGGGCGCACACTTGGCGTTCGGCCCCTCGGTCACGGGGGAGGCGCCGCCGTGTGGGTGGATGCAGATGTTTGTGCCGGTGGGGACGTGATCGGTGTGCTGGAAGGTGGGCGTGAGCTTCGTCACGGCCGTCCGCCCTCCGGGCATGTTCTCGTAGATGCCCTCCAGGATCTGAAGGCTGACTGCGCCGTAGTGCAGCGGCCACCCCGCATACTCGATCAGCTTGTAGCCCTCGCCGCCGCCAACGGTCTGCGCGTACGGTGGGCTGCGGTGAGTTGGGCAGTGGGAGCACACTAGTCGGACGCCTACGGTGGGCGATGAGAACCTTCCACGAGGAGACGTCGAGGATCTTTCTAGCGTGCTCGGCGTAGTCGAACGCGTCTTGCATGCCCGTGTCCTCGTTCTCGGTGCGGCGGATAAAGTCGGTCGCGAGCGCAACGCCCATCTTTGGTGAGGGCGAGTGCGCGCTCACGCTACCCGTCTGTGCGTTCTCCCGCCAAGTAATAGTCAGCGCGTCGATCGGGTCGGCAGAGTAGTAGAGGCAGGCCCCTTGAGGACCGCATTCTTCGGCGCGTACTCCTACTGATGGTGAGACCGGGCGGCTCGTCCGTCGCCGGCACGCCCTCAAGTGCCGCATGCGCAAGCGCCGAGATGAATTCCGAGTTCGTGACCAGACCTTGGGTGATGTCGACAGACGGACACTCGTTGTCGGCGAAGCGGGTATACCAGCATCCCGAATCGGCGAGGCAAAGCAGTGCCTGCTTCGGCCTACGGGAATCCTCGCCGTTGAGCTCGACCCCAAAGCCGGGAGGATGCGATGAGGTGAATGAAGTCAAGCTCTGGACGCCCCTCCTCAAGACCTCCTCGGCGGGCGTTGGTAACGCCTCGAGCGGCGGCACGCCCGCCTCCGTTGGCCACTCCTACGCCTTTGGCAACACCGAAGAGAAGGCCCGCCGCCTAAACATGGGCTGCAAGGCGCGCGGGCAGCCCGGCCAACCCTTCTCCCACACGACCGGCCACGGCTACGTCAAGGCGCATCGCGGTTTCTACCACGACGCGATCTTTGTCAAGCGCAACAACTTCAACGTGCTGCTCCACGAGACGTTCGGCGGCGGCTTCTCGCCCACCGCCGTTCTCAAGCTGCGCCGCCTCGCGCGCAAAGTCACGCGCGGCAGCGTTGACCGCACGGCCTACTCGCCCAAGTACTCGCTCTCTTTTATGTCCCACCATGCAGAGCGCGTCTCTCTCTCTCTGTTGTGCGAGGCGTGAACCGCGCCATTCGCTCTCACCTGGCAACCCTGTCTGCACGTCTCGCGCGCGCGTGAACAGGGCTCCAGGCCCAAAATGAGATGACGTGTGAGTGTTAGAGTTGTTTGGTATTGCTAAAAACGAGGTGCAGGTCGACGGCTGGGATTCAGCTCACAGCTGGGATCAGGTCGAGGCGGTCAGCGGCAGCACCGCGGCCTTTTGCGTGTCGCAGCGAGTCCGTTGCAAGGACAAAGGTGGCGCCCAGTGGAGAACGGGCCACAGTGACCTCCAGCAGGCCTCTGAAGGTGCAGGTTGATGGCTGGGATCGAGCTCACAGCTGGGATCAGGTCGAGGCGGAGCACGAGCTCGCACCCACACTAGTGCTCTCCTGTGCTCCCGTCCTCTCCGACGTGCAGCCGCCAGTTGTGCATAGAGATATTCCGCCATGCCCGATTCTCTGGGGTTTGCAATGCAGCGCGCACTGCCGCGGTCGGGGCGCGAGCGAGAACTGCAACAGACGCAGGCACTCGTCTCTCAGCGGGCTGCCGAGCTCACCCTCGACAAGCGACTGACCCTCGGCCTGTCTGTCGACGCGATTGAGGAGTACATCGCGGCTCTCCCCGCCGACGTTGTCGAGCAGTGCAACGAGAACCGGCCCATCAATGGAGTCCGCGTCCCCGCCAACGCCGCCCTCAACGGCTACGTCAACCAGTGGCAAGTCGCGAGGCGGAGCGAGTCGGACGGAGGCAAGGCGTACTGCGAGACGCTTTATGAGCGCGGCAACCCTGGCGTGGGCGTCGCCACCGTCTTTGTGAGCTGGTTCCTCGAGACGCCGCTCGCGACGCTGGTGGACGCCCTGCGGCTCCACCCAGAGCTGCCGCCGGACACCAAGTTCTGGGTGTGCGACTTTGTGATCCGCCAGTCAACGCGGTCGCTCGACGTCACGATGAACGACGTCAAGCGGCTCGGCGACTGCGTCCGCGCCGTCGGCCACACGGTTCTGCTCATGGAGCCGTTTTACAGGAGCAGCAGGCGGCCTTCGAGGAGGCGCTTGTGTGGGACTTTGACTCGATCGCGAAGAAGCTGTCCGAGGTGGATGTGCGCAAGGCGGAGTGCCGCAACCCGAGAGACACGGAGCAGATCCTGGGCGAGCTCGAGCGGGAGGTTGGCCTGACCGAGTGCAACAAGGCTGTGTTTGGGCTGCTGCGGGGGGCGCTGGCGGGGCAGGGGAGGGCGGCGCTGGAGCGGATGGAGCCGGCGGAGAGGGCGACGTCGACGCTGACCAACCAGCTCGGTATGCTGCTATATGAGCAGGGCGACCTGGATGGCGCGGAGGTGCTGTACCGCGAGGCGCTGGCGGCGAGGCGAGAGACGCTCGGCGACCGGCACCCAGACACGCTAACCATGATCCACAACCTCGGCTCGCTGCTGCATGACAAGGGCGACCTGGACGGCGCGGCGAGGCGCTTTGTCGCGAGGCGCTGGAGGGGAGGCGAGAGACGCTCGGCGACCGGCACCGGTTCCACCGGAGCACGCTCAGCTCGATCAATAGCCTCGGCGGGCTGCGGAGGGAAAAGGGTGACCTGGACGGCGCGGAGGCGCTGTATCGCGAGGCGCATGACGGGAGGCGAGAGACGCTCGGCGACCGGCACCGGGACACGCTCACCGCGACAAACAATCTCGGCGCGCTGCAGCAGGCCAAGGGCGACCTAGACGGGGCGGAGACGCTTTGTCGCGAGGCGCTGGAGGGGTGCCGAGAGACGCTCGGCGACCGGCACCCGGACACGCTTGGCTCGATCAGCAGCCTCGGCGGGCTGCTGTACGCCAAGGGCGACCTGGACGGCGCGGGGCCGCTGTACCGCGAGGCGCTGGAGGGGCAGCGAGAGACGCTCGGCGACCGGCACCTGAGCAGCCACGCTCACCTCGATCAACAACTTCGGCTTGCTGCTAAGGGCCAAGGGCGACCTGGACGGCGCGGAGGCGCTGCTCCGCGAGGCGCTGGAGGGGAGGCGAGAGACGCTTGGCGACCGGCACCCGAGCACGCTCACCTCGATCAGCAACCTCGGCGCGCTGCTGGAGGACAAGGGCGACTTGGACGGGGTTGAGCCGCTGTACCGCGAGGCGATGGAGGGGGGGGGGGCGAGAGACACTCGGCGACCGGCACCCGGACACGCTCACCATGATCAACAACCTCGGCAATCTGCTGAGGGCGAAGGGCGACCTGGACGGGGCGGAGGCGCTGCTTCGCGAGGCGATGGAGGCGCAGCGAGAGACGCTAGGCGACCGGCACCCGAAGACGCTCACCTCGATCAATCGACGATCAATCCCTCGATCAACAACCTCGGCGGGCTGCTGCACGCTAGGGGTGACTTGGACGGGATGGAGCCGCTGTATCGCGAGGCGCTGGAGGGGTGCCGAGAGACGCTCGGCGACAAGCACCCAGACACGCTCCTCTCGATCAGCAACCTCGGCCAGCTGCTGAAGGCCAAGGGCGACCTGGACGGCGCGGAGGCGTTTTGTCGCGAGGCGCTGGAGGGGAGACCGGAGACGCTCGGCGACCGGCACCCGAAGACGCTCACCTCCCTCTATAACCTCGGGATGCTGCTACAGAAGCAGGGCAGGCTCGGCGACGCCATCCCTCTCTTCCGGGAGGAGCTGGATGGAGGGGTGCGATGCGCGGTACGGCAAGGGGCATAAAGAGACGTGGAGCTCGGCCCGTACTCGTAGCCTTGTTGAGCTGCTAACGGAGGCGGGGCGTCATCGCGAGGCTGATGAGATCGCTGCCACTTATGTCGTCTGACTTTGAGGCAGCCAGGCAGGGGGCGAGCGATTCTTCTTTTTTGGACACACACACACACACACACACACACACACACACACACACACACACACACACACACACACACACACACACACACACACACACACACACACACACACACACACACACACACACACACACACACACACACACACACACACACACACACACACACACACACACACACACACACACACACACACACACACACACACACACACACACACACTGCCCCGTTCGAGGCCGCCGCTGCTCCGAGCTGGTGGATCTCCGACGGCCTGATTTCACGCCGCGTTTCCGCCCTCGAATTGGGCCACAGCTCTGCAGCGGATTCGCGCCATCGATGTCGACGGCAAACCTCGGACGGCAAGACCTGAAATGAAGTTCGGCAAGACCTCAGACGGCCTCTACGAGGAGATCGGGGCGCCGGTGCCGGCGCTTCCCTACCGCCAATTCAAAAAGAAGCTTAAAATTCTGCGCATGGGCGCGTCCGGCTTCCTTGCGGAGGGCGGCGGCAGCGTGCCTAGAAGCGGGGATATCGATCTGGCGTTTTGGTCCTTTGTATCGGGCTGGCTCGCGCGGCTTGACCGTCAGTGGAAGACGGCGGTGCGCACGGTGCTGACACTCCGCGGTGAGGACGACCCCGCCCTCAGCGAGCGGGCGCAGGCGCTGCACGCTTGGGCAGAGCTGACGCGGACGGGAGTGCGCAAGATTGTGAAGAAGGTCAACAAGCTGAAGGGGGAGGGAGACCTGCGCCTGCGGCCGGTCCTCGACTACGCCTTCACGCGCGGCTTCCTGCGCTCGCAGCTCGAGATGATCTTCTCCACCGACAAGAGGCCAAGTTGCCCTGTCTGCCTCGAGGAGCGCGCCTTCCACCGCCACCGCTGCCGCTACCGCTCTCTCTTCCTGGCTCAGTCACTCCCCCCCCTCACCTGCCCCGCCTCCCCCCCAGGCCCTCGACCCGGCCAGCCTCGCCCCCGTCGCGCCAGCAGAGTGCGGGCACGCCATGTGCGCGCCTTGCTTTGCCCGCATCGCAGGAGCGGCGGCGGAGGCGGAGGAGGCGGTTCGGTGCCCGATCTGTCGGCGCCGTGTGCGGTCACCGGCCAAGCCGCTCACCGCGCCCCCGCGTCGCTCGCCCCGGCTGCTGTCGCCGCCCGCGGAGGCCTGAGGCGCGTTTAGAAAGGCGCCGCTCGCTGCTTTGTTTGATGCTGCGCCGCGCGTACGTTCTTGCCCAATCCTGCCGGTTCCGCAATCGGCAGCGGGGAAGGGGGCTTGGGGGGCGGGGGCGGGGCATGTCTCCGCCCTCGATTGTGCGATCTTGAGAGCTTGGTATCTGTGGGTGACAGGCCGCACACTCGACAGTATCACGTGGCACACTCCACGAGAGAGCCCTAAAGCGCGAGCCCTCTCTCCACACATACTACCAGCTACGGTAACTAGAGTGTGCACTAGCTGCTACCGCAGCGTCTGCCCGCCTCTCGCCCCTCGCGCCTCTAGCCCAGTCGGCTGCGCCCTCCCTCCCCAGGCCCCATGTGCCTGGAGGGTCCTACTCTCTCGCTCCCCGACCCCTAACTTACTAACTGTCGGGCCCTCCCGACTCGCCGGTGGTAGTTCGCACCAGAGGCGCCACCGCCTGCCCTGCACGCAATCCCTCGGCAGTAGGGCAGGATCGGTGGTTCGTAGCGCCCTGGTGGCGGGATGGCGCCGCTCGTCGGTAGGCTCTTTACGGATAGGCGTGGGCTGCTTTAATCCCGAGCATTGCGAGAAGCAAGTTCTGGCCGAGGAGGGGCCGGCCTGCCCTCAGTCAAAGGAGAAGAATTGCCCCAGCAAACTGCTTATGCACGATGCCTTGTCCGCCTCTGCCATCCCTGCCACCACGCGGAGCGTCTCCACCGACCACCTCTCCATCACGTCTCGTGGCTCGTAGAGCTTAAAGCACCAGGTCAGCCGGCGAAGTCGCTCGGAGATGCTGCCATCGGTTGAGACTCCTGTGGCGTCAAGGGCAGTGACGATCGTCTGGGTGGGGCACTCGCGAAGTCGCTGCTGGAAGGTCATCCGTGTTGTTAGCGTAGGTCGACGCGGCTCCACTGGCGGGGGGCGGATCACTCGGGGCCGCCGGATCGGCGTCTCTGGATGAGCGACCGCCAGGTTGGAGAGGAGGAAGGTTGGCAGATCCTCCTCGTCGACCGAGCACACCGAGGTCGGCGAGGAGGCTCCGAGCGACGAGCACTCACTGCTGCTGCACCGCGACATGCCGCTGCGTATTCTCACTTGCATGCTGTTTGTGGACTGTGCTGCTCGTCGTTTGATGCCGACGGCATCAAGCCAGCCACAGCTGAAGTCCATTTTGTTTTTTTTTTCTTCTTTTTCGGAGTTCTTTTGTTTAAATTCTTTTTCGAGAGAGGTATTGCATGCTTTTCCCCCTTTCTTCGTTGAATTCTTCCTCCCTTCCTTACGGCAACACTACCGTCGCGGGCTACATCGCGGAAGCGACTGGCCTTGAGACCTGATGCTGCCACAGTTAGTTGCGGCATTAGGCGGCGTCCGCGAGATTCCGCGCATCGTGGGTACCCACGCTTCGGGGGGGGGGGGTCCCAAAAGGTTGAAATCTCGGCTGCACGATGTGACGTTACCGAAATGGAACTAGCCCCTGAGGGAGGGTGTAGAGGATGTGATCTGTGATCTGTGATCTGTAAGGGTCCGCCCGCAGGCGCATTTTGTATACCGAGGCGGTGCCCGGTGCCGAAGAGTGTAGAGCGCTGTAGAGCTGTAGAGATGTAGAGCGCTCTGGAGCGCTGTAGAGCTGTAGAGCTCTACATTCGGCGCGGGACAGAGCGATGCAGATGTAGAGCGATGTAGAGCGCGATTTTGCTGTAGAGTTTGTTGTAGAGGCTCTACAGCAAAACCGCCGGGGAGGCAGTGACTCAAAGAGGTCGAGCCGCACTACTCGAGTAATGGGGTGTCTCCGAGCTTACTGGAGCTCTGGTGGACGGCCCTGACTATCCCTGACACACAGAGAGTCACTCTGACGGCACACAACACCCTATAACTGCGTCATGACCAGCCTGCCATGCGTCGCCGGTGCCGCATTCGTCGCAGTGCTTCTTTAGCAGGCGGTGGACTGTCGGCTGCGAGGACGGTCGCATTTGCGCGAGGCGAGGCGAGCATTCAGACGCGTTGCATGCGCCATGCCTCGCGCCAGCGCGTGCGGGAGCTCCTGGCTGAGCGTTGAGTCCAGGCGAGTTGCGCTGGCCACTATCGCTACGCCGAGCCGAGCTGACGCGCCGAGGCGCCGGCCAGTCGCAGCCGTGAGGCATGCCACAGCAGCAGAGGCAACTGCCACCCATTGGGCGGGCAGACAGAAGGCCAGGGCAGCACTGGCAAGTGCAACGCGCCTCATGTCGGAGAGCGACCGTGCCTCGTTCGCCGCTTATGATGTAGAGTTTGTTGTAGAGATTTCACCCTCTACATCGCTCTACATCTGCATCGCTCTGTCCCGCGGCGGATGTAGAGCTCTACAGCTCTACAGCGCTCCAGAGCGCTCTACAGCTCTACAGCTCTACAGCGCTCTACACTCTACATCCTCTACACCCTCCCTCAGACTAGCCCTAGGCCTTGCGCAGGCGTGTGTCAGAGTCATCGTAGAGCTAGTGCAAGAGCGTCGTGCCAGCAAAGGTGACGTGACTCCGCCGAACAGCGTGCGGATGCACGCAGACACTTGCCTTCGTCGTGCATGAGCGTGCATCCTCCGACCGCGAATAGCGCTTGGCCCGCCGGTCCGTGCTGTCCACCGCCACATCCTCCGACCGCTCGGCATTGAGAGCAATATGCGCCGCGCCGCGATCGCGTTGACCGCGGCGCTCCTCGCGTTGATGCGTGAGCGGCGGCGCCGGTTGCGCTTGCGGCTGCTCCTTGAGGGCGCCAGCCACCGCATACAGCCTTCGGTGCCGGCGCTACGCCAAGCATCGCAATCTGCGGCGCCGGCATCTCGGGACTGACGCTGGCCGGTCGTCCACTAAAATTCTTCGCTGCGCAAAATTCTTTTCTTGAAGCGCGTCAGCTGCGCGCTCCGCGCTATCCATTGTGAATGCGCGCCGTCAAGCGGTCGGACCCGCAGGCCTGGGCTTTGGCAGGCGGGATCGGCTGGCTCTACGGGATAGGTTGCGTGCTCGGGCCGTTCTACGGCGTCGGCGTCGGCCTCACCTTCCCGGGCGGCATTCTCGCCGGCGCCGGTGGCGGGGTCGGGGTCGTCGTCGGCATTGGCATGGGCGGCGGGCTCGTGTGGGGTGCTGGCCGTGGCTCTGTGCGCGGCCTCGGCGTGCCGGTGCCAATGGAGCCTCCGGTCCTTCCGTCCCTTCAAGACCTCGGCGCGCGGGCTGCGACCTCGTACGACGCAGTCAAGCAGTGGCGACGTGAGCTCTCCTCTGCTCCTCGCCGGGAACGACGGCTAGCGCTGGCGCTGCCTGGCGCCCCTATCCCGACTGAACTGCGGCGCCGAAGGCAGAAAATGGGTGGCTCTTGAGATCAGACGGCGCGTTGCGCATGAGATCAGAGGCTTTATTCGAAAAAAATTAACCTGGTTACATGAGCTAACGCGGCCTCTGAGAGTGGAGTCGGGACGTACGGGCTCACCGGGGGAAGACCAGTTGCAGGGGCAGCCGGACCACCGCGACCTTCGACGGGGAGGGCCACGCCTCCCCGAGCCTGGAGAGGAGCCGGCGGAGGGGGGGGGCGAGCCAGGGACGATAGAGAGGCCGCGAGTGCGGGCACGACTCGCCGACCAGGGAGAGCGGGCTCGACCTCTCTGGGAGGGGAGGCGACACGACCCAAGGCCGCAGTCCTCGCCCAGGGGGTCGGGAGCGGGGCCGTCGGAGGCGGAGTCAGCGGGATCAGGGGAGGCCTCACCCGGGCTGTCGGCTCCCTCGGGGCCAATGGGGCTAGCCGACGGAGGTAGGGCGGAGGGGCCGCCTCCGAAGAAGAGACATCAAAAACGTCTGCAGAGGCAGTGGGGCGACGCCCGAAAAGCGAGCAAGAGACCGAACCAGACTGGAGATTCACCCTGAAGGGTGGGGGACGAGGACGTGCAGTGTACACGTTAGACAGTCGTGTATGTACGTGACGCGTGGTGTCGTAGTGTCCGTGTCCACTAGCTCCGAGTAGAGGGGGCGTTCTGCAGTTAAGGGGAAACCCGGTACACGGAGCCCTCTCGGAGACCCGTGTTTACTTTAAGGCCCACTTTAAGGCCCTTGCCCTGCGAATACGCGCCCCCCCCTAGCTAGGGGTCAGGGCTCTCTAGCCCGTAGCCCGATGCCGATCATCCGGCCCGCTGGATGCGCTTCTCAGCTCACCGGCCCTGGATGTGAGGTTGCCGACTGCACTCCAAGTGCTCCAAGGTTTATACATACCACAAGACAATTAACCTGCGATTGCGATGGAGAGAGGGGTCACTCAAAAGTAAAATATATTTACTTCCAAAACCCGGACGTGCCTCCACCGGCACGCCGCTTCCCCTCTCATGAATACGCGTGCGCGCACCGCAGGCAGGGGGCGAAACTACTTGCTGATGCTCGTGTTGTCGTGGCGCGGTGTCGTGTGGAGAGCGAAAACACACTCTCACGAGACTGCAGACTCACGTCGCCAACGCGGCCGGCAGCCCGATCTCGGTGCTGTGCGCCTCCACCTCGGCGGCGACGAGCGCCTGCAGCCGCGCGGCGAGCGAACCGGGCCCGTTTGCAAACACGGCGACGCGGTCGGCCTCGCCGCTCGGCTCGCCGTCGGGCGGCACGTACAACTCGTCGACCTGTGACACACAAACAGCCGTGAAGCGGCGCTGCTCACACAGCTCGGCAGGCATGCACAGCTTCGTCGACCGGCAGCAGCAGCCGCGAGGTGGACGAGATCAGGGCGCCCTCCCACCGGCCTGCGTCGGCGAGCCGAGGCGGAGAGAGCACCACGGGCGTCCCCTCCCGCCCGCACACCTCGAGCAGCAGCCGCCGCACCGTGCCCTCGAGGATGCCCTCCCCCGCCGTGTGCACCGCGCCGTCGACGATCGCGTAAAAGTTGGTCTGCGAGCCCTCGAGCAGCTCGCCTGTTCACAGCTGGAGCCGTGAAGCGACCCCGCTCGCAGCCGAGAGGTCTGCCAGCCCTCGAGCGGCCCGCCGCTCTCCGTCGCGAGGAGCAGCTCGTTGATCGGGCCGACCTCCGCCGACCGCATCAGCGCCTCGAGCGGAGCGCGGTCCGCCACCCAGCTCGAATCCTGCTCACGGACGCAACCGCCGTGATGGCGGCGCGCTCCACAACGCTTATTCCTGCGGCCCAACGCGACTCCTTCGCCGCCGCGTTCGCGCGCGGCGCCCCTCGCACCTCTGCCCGGATCGGCGGGTCGGGCAGGGGCGGCAGCGGGGCGACGTGGCAGCCGACCGAGCCGAGCAACTACGAGAAGGTTCAGAGAAAGTTCGGAGACGGTTCGGAGAAAGTTCGGAGAAGGTTCAGGGGCGTGGCAGCAAACCGAGCCGTCCGGCGCCGCCTCCGCGCAACCCGCACCCTCCTTGGCCGCCTCTGCAGCCTCGCCCCAATTCACCACCAGAGTCAGCTTGAGCTCGCCAGCACCGCCCACTCGCCGCCCGAACTCTCGCATGTACTCTCGCACCGCGGCCGCCACCGCCGCGTCGAGACGCGGCCGCAAGCCTGCGCTCCGATGGCGGGGAAGGTGCGTCGGGCCGACGAGCAGACGGCCAGAGGGCACAGCGCAGCGGTGGCAGCACTGTGGCAGCTGGACGCAAGTGCGTGGCTCCTGGGTGCAGAGCCCCAAACCTACTGACAGGCACCTGCAGCCGTGCCAAGCGCCGCCTGCAGCTCAGCCGCGCCGCCGCCGCCTGCAGCGAGCATCGAGCCCACCGACGCCGCGGTGCGCTCCTGTCCGCAGCGGGAGGCTGATCAACATCTCGGCCTTTTTCTCGGGCGCATCTCGGCTGCATCTCGGGCCGCATCTCGGCTAACCGCGCTCCACGTGTGTCTCCCACTCGAAAACGCTCCTCCCGCCGCCGCTCGTCCGCGCCGTCGTGTACGCGCCTTTCGGGACACGTCGCGGACGTGTCGTGGACGGCGCTGGACGTGGCCTCTCGAGACAGGCCGCCACAAGCACGCGCCTCCTGGCCTCGAGAGGAGAAAGTCCTTTGCGGTCTGCGCGGACGGCGCCGCGTGCCCGTCCGCAGCGACGACGAAGCGCGGCGCGGCGACGCACTCCTCCTCCAGCCAGCGGAGGTAGGCCGCGTTGCCCGTGACGGGAGACCACGCCACCGCGCCTCCTCCCTCCTCCTCCGCAGCCCTCGCGACGGCCAGCCTGGCGGAGGCGACCGTCTTGACGGCGATTGAGCCGTCCGGAGCCACCTGCGCGGTGCGGGGAGGGTGCCCTCTGGATGGCCCGGAGAGGAGCCCGTGAGGCCTGTGAGGTGTCTGTGAGCCGCCTGAGAGCGGTCAGAGAGAGGCGCGCCTGAGCACACGCGACGAGGCGCGAGGCGGCGAGGCGCTCGGCTAGGGCCGCGCCCGCCTATCACCCAGCGGGCCGCATGTATTCTCGTACGCGCGTGTGTCTGGCGGCCGTCGGCGAGGCGGATGATGTCGCCTTCGCGCCTCCGTCCAGCGGCCGAATGACGCCTTTCCAGTGCGCGGCGCCCTTGTCCGACGTGTCGGCGAGGATCATTGGCACGTCGTACGAGTGTGCTGCCTCCACCGCCCGCAGGACCGACTCGAACGGCTCCGAGGTCTCAAACGAGACTCGCACCTCGGGCTCGCTCTGCACGGCGCCCTCCCACCAGTAAAAGGAGTGGATCTCCTCGCGCGTGACCTGCGTAGCGAAACCGAGCGCCTCGCACAGCCTCTCGGCGGCCGAGCTGCTTTCCTCGGTTGTCGTGACGCGGAGTACTGGCGGTGAAGGCATCGCCATGGCGGTGCGCAGGCTTCCGCGTACGCTGCTCCCGCGAAGGCTGCTGAGGAGCAGGAGGCGTGTCACCGGGCGGGTGCCGAGGCGGTGGAGCATGCACGCCCGGGCGAGTAGAGGCCGCGCCCACCCAGGGTACCCTCTTCGAGGACCCATTGGGTTGCTATTTCGAGGACTCGCCGGGGCTCTGCTCCAAGAGACCTCGAAGAGCGTGCGTGTGTCTCTACACGCCAGATGCACGCCCTGGCATACACATGCGGAAAAAGAAATCGCAGGTGGGTTAACAAGCAGAACGATTCGTAGCACCACACTCCTCTCCTTAAAATCCCTGTGTGGTGGCGGCGTGCCGTCCTCCCATCCCTGCCTTGGGCTGTATTTTTTCTTTCTTTCTTTTAGAACGATTCGGGATCTTTGCTAGGATCTTTGAACACCGGAGAGACACTTAGACCCCACACACGGTCTCGTCCGTGCCTCGCCGGCCGGTGAGATTGCTAGAGGTGGAGCACGCTGCTCTAGCCTCACATGTCACTTCCTATCGTCTGTTGTTTGAGTTGTGCCCTTGTTTGTGCCCTTGGCACCGTGGAGTGCTGGGGGGGGCGACAGGGAGGATGTGGCCCTGAGTTATGTGTACGCCGACTCAGGGTGTGTGGCAGCCAGCTGGCTGTGTGTCTTGTGAGCTTGTTTGCGTCTGTGTGTCGCTCGTGCGTGTCGTCATCATCTGTCCAGCGTCCACCCATACCGCGTTGGTGTCCAGTCCGAGCCTGGCTGTTCTTCACCTTACTACCTACCTACTACTAGAGACGACACGAGAGCACTTGAGCACTTGAGCACTGGATAGGGTCGATTCCGCATGGTACGGGACCCCTACATACACACACGAGAGCATGCGTGCGGTCACGGTCCTACGGCTGTACACTGGCGGGTGCCCGGGACGGGATGGAAGACTAGAGTGCTTACGCCGCGGAGCAGGCAGCGACGATGGCGCTGGTCTGCTCCTTGAGGCTGCCCTGATGCCACAGTGCTTTGACCTTTGGAGAGAGTGTTGACCTTTGGTGCATGTCAGAGACATGTCGGGCTTGCGGGTCGGTCGGCCTCCTGCCCGGCGGAAGTTCGGGAAACTGATGGAGACCGAAGTGAGGCTGCAGGAGAATGCAGCCCATGTAGCCGCAGCGCGATCCTGGGCAAAATCAACTATACCCTACCCAACAGAAGAGTGGGAACCCTCTGGGGTGATGTTTGGCGGTTTTGAGGCCTGTGATCACCCCCAGAGTTCCTCCACCACTAGAGGCCTCCAGGCCTGTCCATCCGCCCCGATGCCCGTGCTGATTCTCTCCGTGGCCGTGCCGTCGCGCTTCACCTTGCGGTCGCGCGATAACGAGGTCACGTATTGCTCCGCCTCGACTGTCGCCGTGACCGCGGGCCTGCTGATCCTCGCACCGACCGCCGCCGCCTCCTCGATCCGAGGAGGGCTGCTCCGCCTCGACGCGCCGCTCGTGGCGGCCGCACTATCGCTGCTGTTCACCCTCTCCACCCTATACCTCGCCGCCAGCACCAACCCCGGCGTTGTGTCCCGCGAAATGGCGGCGCCCGAGGAGGCCCCCTCGGCGGCGCCTGCCGGCTACTGCACCGCGTGCTGCGTGCAGCGGCGGCCCCGCACGCACCACTGCAGGCACATGCGCGCCTGCGTCGACCGCTGGGACCACTACTGCGTCTACATCGGCAACGCGGTCGGCAGCGGCAACCACCGCGTATTCGTGTGCTTTATCCTCGCCGCCACGGCACACGCGGCGCTGCTGACGTGGTGCGCGGCGCTCGAGCTGCTGGGGAGGGCGCAGCCGTGGCGGCTCGCCTCGGCCACCCACGCCCTCGCGCCTGCACTGCTGCTCCTCTACACCGCCCCCATGGGCGCCGTGCTCGCCTGCTTCTCGGCGTACCACCTCTTTCTCATCTCGGTCAACCAGACGAGCTACGAGTACGCCTTCAAGAAGGCCTACACCGCGCGCGCCAACCCGCACGACCGAGGCTGCCTCGGCAACTGGGTCGGCTTCTGCGGCGGCGCGCCGAGCGTGGCGGCCGGCGAGGCACCCGACGTCGCCCACATCCTAATCTGATGACGCGAACGGCCTGACGCCGGGCTGTACTCTCCTGGACGCACTGTGTCATATTTCACTCGCGTCGCCGCGCAGCCCGCACTGCTGTTAGCTCTTTTCTGAAAAATTCCATCAGGGGTAGATCAGGACATACACTGAAAAAGAAACCCCGCGAGCGAAACGACTCTTCGATACGCCCGTCGCTGCCGCCATCGCACAACGCAGGGCCTGCGACGAGGACGTTCCACTCCCGCCGCGCGACGAGGACGTTCCACTCCTGCCGCGCGATTCGGACGAGGACGCTCCACTCCCGCCGCGCGATTCGGACAAGGACCTTGCCAAGACGGCACCGAGTGGCTCCTTGCCGCCTTCGCGCACCGGAGCACGGATCGTGGCTGCACTAAACTTCAATGCAAAGCGCGTGCAATTTTCGCCGTTTGACGAGAACGCGGACGGTAAGCTTGGCTCTGTCTACACACGCCTGACCGAGACGCTCCTCGCCCGCGGCGACTGGGATCGTCGCCCAGCGCTACGCAATAAGGCCACGGGTGAGACGAAGCTGCCAGCGACGTACAGCCTGCTCCTTGGGACAGCGCAGGGAAAGGGCGTGCCGTGGGGTCGGCTGGGCTATGGCATTTGGCCACCACCGCTGGTCAACTACTGCCGTGGGTTCGACCTCCTCACCCGCAAGGGCAAGCTCGTGAGCACTCTTCAGCAGGCCAAAGAGGCTGCGAATGGTGGATGGCCGAGAGAGATGCCAAAGCTTCTCACAGCTGGTGCCGCGGTGCGAACGGAGAAGTGGGAGCTTGCGCCCACCGCCTTTGTCTTCCACCCGTCCAAGGGTGAAGCCAACCCCCGCGCCGCCCTGCGCGACGCCTACGCCACGCGCGCTGTCGCTGCTGATGGCAAGGCGGACGCGAATCGCTGGATCCTCAAGCCGTCGGAGGGAGCCAAGGGGGAAGGAATCTGCATCCTCGACGAGATTGCGGCGATCGAGGAGCACCTAGACAAGCAGGAGGCGCGGGCGGCGGAGGGCGAGACGGTCTCCTCGTGGGTCGTCCAGCGGTACATCCACAACCCGCTCCTCCTCAGGGCCGGCCACCGCAAGTTTGACATGCGCTGCTGGGTACTGCTTGCGCCCGACTACAGCATCCACCTCTACCGCCACGGCGTGCTGCGCGTGGCGTCGGCGCCCTACCAGGCGGACAATATTGGCGACCGCTTCGCGCATCTCACCAACCACTGCATCGCTGCTGAGCATGCCGAATACGGGAAGTACGAGGCGACAAACGAGATCTTCTACCCGGCGTTTGATAAAGAGCTCAGCGAGCGCTACCCGGAGCTTGCGCTCGCCGCGAAAGGCACGGCGCTCTTTGGCGCGACGCCGAACGAAGACGACGAGGCGGGATCGGTCCTGGAGACCGTTGTGCTCCCACAGATCCGCCGCATTGTCGTTCAGTCAATCCTCGCGGTGCGCGACCGCCTCGAGACGGACGGAGAGTACTTTCAGCCGTTTCAGCTCTTTGGGTACGACTTTCTGCTGGACAAAGAGCTCAGGGTGTGGCTGTGCGAGATCAACGCGTCGCCGGCTGTCGCCGAGGAGCTGCTCCCCGCGTGCGTCGATGCCATCATCCGCACGGCCATCGACCCGTTCTGCGCGCCCGTCGACGTGCTCATGGCGACGGCCGAGAAAGCGGGCGACAGGGAGGTGGGAGGCAAGGCGGGGTACGATGAGCGCACGGAAAAGGCGCCGCCCGCCGAGCGCTTTGAGTGCCTCTTCGCAGTCGAGTCTGCGTCTAAGAAGGCGGCAGCCTGAAGCTGTTGGGTCGTGTCGTTTTAGAGAGAAGTGCGGGGCCGTCGCCGCCGTCGCCGCCGTTGGCGACTTCGTAACTATTGTGTGTGGTGAAATTCTTTTCGCCGGAACTCGATCTGTTTGTGTGTGAACCTCTCATAGACCAAGAGCGCGCATCTATAGCAGGCTGTCAACACGAAAGCGAAGCGAGCATCAGACCCAGCCAGATCTAGACTCAGTATTGGATCCAGATTTCATTCAGCCGGTGGACATGCGTGTCATCATCGACGACATGACATCTCCTTCTATGCACTCGACTTTGATCGGTTTGCTCAAGCTCTCGAAGCTACTCTCCGCGGCGGACATAGAGTCGTTAAATGTTGCCCGCGCCGCCCGGTTCAAACGCCAGCGAGCGTCACACATATCCTACGAGCTCAGGCGTGCATGCATCGACCGGTGCGAGCCGCACCTTGACGCTGACAGCAGACTCAAGTGGCAGACTTTCAACGGCCTGGGGAGGCAGGCATTCATCCACCTATGTGAGGAGAACGCCGTCGACTACGAAGGCAGCAACTCAAAGCCGGAGCTGGCCCGTCTCGTCAGGGAGACGATTGCTCGCGCGTTGAACGCCCGGGCGGCGGCCAACCGTCAGAGCACGGAAGGTAAAGAGCCGTTCAACTTGAAAAGAGGCAAGAGCGCACGCCTACGGCTCTAATATATTGCCGAGACCCTGAGGCAGCTTGCCAAGCAGTACATACTGTCTTACGTGCATGCCCCACGCGCATGTCTCGCATGCCATGTAATTGTGAAAATTCTCAATCTAGATACACGGGTTAAAAATGAATCGGAGTCCGCTCACCGCTGTCCGGTGGGAGCGACCACGGATCGGTGGTCGGTGCGCGACACTCACACCCAGACAGCAGAATCCATCACTTCAATAACATCAAACATGCCCCAGAGGGACACATACGGTTAGAAATGCGTTCAGCTGCCGCCGCCCGCCCGGTCCAGATAGTCGTGCACGCACTCGATGAGCTTCTCCTTGATGCCCGCGGCGCCCGCCTTGTGGCCCGCGTCCACGAAGTGCGTGCTGAGCAGCCCCGCACCCTTCGCGCCGTCCTCTGACGGCTCTAGTGCGTCGCGGATCGCTCGCATCTGCGCCACAAGCTCGCGCGCAAACTCCTCTGGGCAGACAGCGTCGCCCGTGCCCTGCACCACCCAAGTGTCCATCCGCGCCATCGCCGCCGCGGCCTCGCCCGAGAGCCGCTCGAGCAGCCTGCACGGCGCCTCGTACGCACCTCGCAGGAAGAGGCGCGCCTCGAAGAAGGCGACGCTGCGCGCCTGTTTGCAGCACACGGCCTCACGGGCACGGAGAGTGGACGGCGCATCGAGCCATTCCTAGAGCGCCTCGGCGTACTCGTCCGCCACGGCAGTGTCCACGTCGCGCCGCTCCGACTCGCACTCCGCCATCAGGTTGCACTCGAACGCGTGCCTGTTCACAGCCACGCGTGTGAAGAGACGCGCTCACACCGCGCTGCGCCAGCCCACCTGCGTGCGAGCGTGCCAGTGCCAGGTGGCCGCCGCGTCGCCCGCGCGGATGCGCCGATCGTACTCGCCCAGCAGCAAGCGAGCGTCGTGGCCGCTCTCGCCCACCGCCGCGGCAAAGGCGTCAAATTCTCGAAGCCGGCGGCGCGCGCCCGCCTCCTCGCCCTCGGCCTCGGCGGCGGCTGCATACGGCGCCCGCGAGTAGACGGCGTCGATCTCGGCCGGCAAGCTGTGGCGAAGAGGGGGGTCGAGGGCCGGCAGGCTGTGGCGGTGCAGGGGGGGGCGAGGGCCGGCAGGCTGTGGCGGTGCAGGGGGGTCGAGGGCCGGCAGGCTGCGGCGGTGCAGGGGGGTCGAGGGCCGGCAGGCTGCGGCGGTGCAGGGGGGGGTCGAGGGCCGGCAGGCTGCGGCGGTGCAGGGGGGGCGAGGGCCGGCAGGCTGTGGCGGTGCAGGGGGGGCGAGGGCCGGCAGGCTGTGGCGGTGCAGGGGGGGCGAGGGCCGGCAGGCTGTGGCGGTGCAGGGGGGGCGAGGGCCGGCAGGCTGTGGCGGTGCAGGGGGGGCGAGGGCCGGCAGGCTGTGGCGGTGCAGGGGGGGCGAGGGCCGGCAGGCTGTGGCGGTGCAGGGGGGGCGAGGGCCGGCAGGCTGTGGCGGTGCAGGGGGGGGTCGAGGGCCGGCAGGCTGTGGCGGGGAGGGGAGACGCTCGCTCATCTCGGCGTCGCGTGCGCGCCTGAGGAAGACGCCGCGAAGGATGAGGGCGAGGCAGCGCTGCGGGAAGTCGAGGGCGTACTGCAGCGCCAGCGTGGAGCCCCAGCTGCCGCCAAACACCAGCCACCGCTCGAGACCGAGCGCCTGCTCCCTCATCAGTCGACGTTAGCTCGAGCCGTCAGCCAGCGGCTGCACCTCCAGACCCGCGCCTCCCTCACCGCCTCGAAGTCGGCGCTCATCAGCGAGATGTTGATCTCGCCGTAGATGCGCATGTGCGCCGCCGACTCGCGCACCGACGGCGTCGACCTGCCCGTGCCTCGCTGGTCCACCTCCACCACAAAGAAGCGCGCCGCGTCGAAAAACTCGCCGTTGATGTCTGCATAGTCGGCGACGCAATTGCCGGGCCCTCCGTGCACAAACAGCACGGGGGTGCCAGCGGCGCGGCTGCCCCACGTGCGGTACCACAGCCGGACTTCGACTCCCTCCACCTCGCCCACCGCCACAGTGCCCTCCTCCGCCTCCCCGATCGGGACCACGCCGCCGCACCGCCGCACCGCCGCACAGCCCACCGCAGCCGCGCCGCCCTCGCCGCCCTCGCCTCTGCCCTGGTCCAAACGCGCCTCGTCGTCTTCGCCCAGCGAGCCCGCCGTCCCCGCCACGCCGCCGCCGCGCGCAGCCGCCGCCGCCGCGGCGCGAAGCATCTCGCCCTCGCTCAGCTCTTCCACAGCCCCGCCGCACGCGGGCAGCATCGCCGCGCCGCCGCCGCGGTGCGCCTCGTCCGCCAGCTCGGCGAGCAGGTGCTGCAGCAGCGCCAGCTGGCGGCGGCGCGGCACCGCCTCGAAGGGAGGCACGTGGACAAACAGGGCGGTGTGCCGACTCTGCGTGCTCTGCGCGCCCGAGCTGTTGTTGTGCGCGTGCGAGAGCCGCAGCGACTCGTACAGCGTGTAGTTGCACAGGTACCTGCGGGTCAGGCCAAGGGCGTCTTCGGCGTCTGGCCATCCCAGCAGCAGCGCGGTGCCGGCCGGCGAGGGTGGGCAGACAATCTGCTTCTCGGCGCACCCACAGCGGCGGGCTCGTGGATAGGTTGCGGGCCCTAGCGCCAACGCACCGGCCTGCGTCGTCCGAGACTCGGATCTCCTCGGCCGACCTCGCAGCCAACGCATCCCGCAGAGAGGAGAGGGGCAGAGGGCTGCGGCGGCAGCCCCGCACGCCACGCGCGGCCGGCGCGGCGTCGATGGGCTCGTCCGTCGGCTGGCGGCCTCGCTCGTCCGCCACACGAAATGTCATGTTGTTGACGCCGGTGCGCTCGAGTGCAAAGCCGCGCCCTCTCGCGTCGACGCCAAGGTGCACGTAGATGACGCAGCCGGAGGAGTCGTCGCCGCTGTGCAGCCGCTGCAGCTGCGCGTCGACATCCTCGGTCGAAACCTCAAGCACTGCTGAGCGGAGCGGGACGCCGTGCGGAAGCCGCCAGCCGTCGGCGCCGCTGGCGAGCTCTCTCGCGAGCCAGTCGGTTGGGTTCTCTTCGACGTCGGCGAACGGGCCGAACCCCGTCACGACGATGGAGCAGGACGGCGTGGCCATTGACTGTGAACGGCGGGCGAGTTTGCGCACGCGCTGCGCGTAGGCGGCGCGTGGGCGGGTGGCCCGCCCGGCCGTCGGTGAGCACCGGACGCGAGGGTCGCTGGGTCGGTCGGTCGGCTCCTAACTAACTCGCTGCATATAGTAGCGATGAGCTCACTAGCTAGAGCTCACACTAGCTAGAGGCCGTCATCGCATTCGCCCTGGGACCCAGCGCTGACTTCTGACTGTCGTTGCGGTCTATCCCTTTCTCGACTGTCTGAGCTTGTGCGTCTTGGGTCCGTGGTTGTGTTTTTGTGTGAAGGGCATGACACCTGTGAAGGGGATGGCACCTGACAGGGTTCCAACTTTTTCCGGGGCATGGTACTCGAGTATGGTAGCTCGGCGGCCCAAAGGGGGGGGGGGGGGGGTATGGTCCTGACCGCCCAAGGCTAGCCCTACCATACCCCAAGCAGGTTTTCCAAGTGGCGGGGGGGGTATGGTCTCGAGGTGGGTTGGCCTTCTGTCTGCCCGCCCAATGGGTGGCAGGTGCCTCTGCTGCTATGGCATGCCTCACGGCTGCGACTGGCCGGCGCCTCGGCGCGTCAGCTCGGCTCGGCGTAGCGATAGTGGCCAGCGCAACTCGCCTGGACTCAACGCTCAGCCAGGAGCTCCCGCACGCGCTGGCGCGAGGCATGGCGCATGCAACGCGTCTGAATGCTCGCCTCGCCTCGCGCAAATGCGACACCGTCCTCGCAGCCGACAGTCCACCGCCTGCTAAAGGAGCACAGCGACGACTGCGGCACCGGCGACGCATGGCAGGCTGGTCATGACGCAGTTATAGGGTGTTGTGTGCCGTCAGAGTGACTCTCTGTGTGTCAGGGATAGAGGGAGCGGACCCTGAGTTGAGGAAATCGGGGGACGCGACCCACTTCGCCACAGACGGTCCCGCGCCTCGCCACTATGACGGGTAGACGACCGCGGCTCGTGTGCGTCTACCCGTCTTTGTCCGGAGTGAATACTCCAACGCGCTCGTCGGTGACGGCGTCCCCCGATTTCGCCGCGCTCGGCGAACCTCGACAGCGCTTTCGGTGGCATGCAGCTCTTTGCGCCTGAAGCCTGGAGAGCAGCTCCTCTGCTGCTCATACGCTCTGCACAGTTGGCACAGCCTACTGTGCGGCTGCCACAGCTGTGACAGCGATGGGCTCGCCCTCACTGGCCCTCAGTCACTCGTGCTGCGGCTTGTGTGAGCGACACTGCTCGGCGACTGCCGGCACACTGTGAGACCATGGGTGTGAGGTAAAACCACGCTACCAGCGCTTGGTCACATCAGCCCTGAGGTCATATCCTTCTCCTCTGTTGATGGTAACACTTGTCTACTCGCTGGAGCCGAGCAGGAGGGCTTGGCGCACAACCCCTGTTCAACTCAGGGTCCGCACCCCGTAGTCAGGGCCGTCCATCAGAGCTCCAGTAAGCTCGGAGACACCCCATTAGCGCGGCTCGACCTCTTTGAGTCACTGCCTTCCCGGCGGTTTGGCTGTAGAGCCTCTACAACAAACTCTACAGCAAAATCGCGCTCTACATCGCTCTACATCGGACTCACATCGTCACGCGCCGGATGTAGAGCTCTACAGCTCGCTACAGCGCTCTACACTCTACATCCTCTACACCCTCCCTCAGGCTCGGAGACGCTCTACATCGGACTCACATCGTCCCGCGGCGGATGTAGAGCTCTACAGCTCGCTACAGCGCTCTACACTCTACATCCTCTACACCCTCCCTCAGGCTCGGAGACACCCCATTAGCGCGGCTCGACCTCTTTGAGTCACTGCCTTCCCAGCGGTTTGGCTGTAGAGCCTCTACAACAAACTCTACAGCAAAATCGCGCTCCTACATCGCTCTACATCGGACTCACATCGTCCCGCGGCGGATGTAGAGCTCTACAGCTCTACAGCGCTCTCCAGCGCTCTACAGCTCTACAGCGCTCTCCAGCGCTCTACAGCTCTACAGCTCTACAGCGCTCTACACTCTACATCCTCTACACTCTCCGTCGGCACTTGGAGCACTTGGAGTGCGGTCATTAACGGCACTTGGACGGCGAATTCTTTCTTTCTTTTTTCCGCCGCGAGATGTGCGACCTCCATATGACCGAGAGTGATGTGGATGGCAAGTAGATCTAAAGAGTGATGTGGATGGCAAGTAGATCTAAAGCTGGTCCGCCACCGCCCCTTGCCATACAAAGAAGGCCAAGTCCGGACTTCGCGCGACATCTCTCGAGGTCTCGAGACACCGGGGAAAAAGCCGTACCCCCCCTCATGCTCGCGCTCCTGCCGGCCTATTCCGCCCAGATCTTCGCCAGCGCGGCCAACGATCCCGGCCTCAAGGACGTGTTCGCCTTCAAGGGCGAGGGCTTTGGCCCAAAGCGACTGCGGCTCGGCAATACGTCGATGAAGAACGCCAAATACAAGAAGAACGAAGGCGAAGTCCCGACCTGGATCGACGGCGTGCCATTGTCACGGACCGCTGCTCCGCCGCATCAAGGATCGGACAGTGCAGCTCTCTCTCTATAGGCAAGCCTCCGTTCGAGCCGCTGATGGAAGTCTCGGCCGACTGGGCTCTGGCGGACCAGACCCGAACCTTCTGCCTCCTCGTGCTGGACATGGAGAATGACTACCTCCCGTGCGCAGCCCGCACTGACGCCCGCACCTTCGCTCGTCTCACTCGCTCTACCCTCTGCGGAGCCTCGCACACAGCCGCGCAGCGCCGCTGCCAGCTGAGCTCCCTCCGCCTGCCCTGCAGGTATATGACTTTTATGATGCCGAACGCCGAGGCGGTGCTCGCCGCCTTCCGCAAGGCGCAGCAGCCGGTCGTGTGGACCAACTGGTACCGGCAGGAGGATGACGGCGCGTACGGTGCGTGTGCTCGCCCGCTTCCGTGGGTCCGAGGGCGCCTCCCTGACGCGTCCACGACGCGCCCGCAGGAGCCATCGACCGCTTCTGGGGCCCTCGCGGCCTGTACCCGCCGGGAGGCACCGTCAAAGGGCACGCCGAGAACCCGATGTGGATCGACACGAGGTACGGCAAGAACGCGACCGACACGGCGGGCTGCGCGGCGGAGGGTGGTCCGTACACGCACAAGAGCAGCGCGGCCGGAACCGAGGGCTGGCGTGTTAGGTGCCAGCGATGGGACCGATCACGGAGGACGAGAAGTCGCTCGTCATCAAGTCGATGTGAGATGAGCCGAGATCAGCCGAGATCAGCCGAGACCGGTCCATTTGGCGCAGACCCGACCGCTGGCATGTTGCGACTCACGCAGCGGACGGCACTCTCCACGAAGTGTCTGCGAAAGGAGTTCGGCCGTCCCTCCTTCCCTCCGACCATGCCGCCCTCCCCGCCGCAGGCACCTCTCCAAGATGGCCGACAAGGACGAGCACGGAGACGACATCCTCTACCCGATGCTGCAGGCGTGGGGCGTCGACACTATCGTTATCGTCGGCGCGTGGACCGAAGACTGCGTCATCGCGACCTGCTACGAGGCGGCAGACCGCTATGGTCTCGACGTCGTCCTCGTCACCGACGCCATCGCAACGGGCTCGCCGGTGCACCAAAAGGCGATGGACACGATGCAGGCGGGGCGGCCGCCGAGATGGAGCCGTCGCCCATTTTTTGCAGCCGATGGCAGCGCCGAGTTGCGGCAGCCGTGCCCCTCCTCACCAGTGCCTCCCTCCCTGCCCAGGCGGCCTGCGGCAAGACGCTGATGGCGGAGGAGCTGGTGCAATACTTCGCGAGCCACCGGCACAAGCTCGGCCCCGCGCAAGCCGAGCTCAACTATGGCGCCGTTCAGCTGCGCCGCCGCGCCGCCCTGCTGAGCGCCGCGCAGGCCGAGGCGCGCGGTCGCGAGGGCATCTCGGTGGCGGTCGCCGCGGTGATCGCGCTGATGGCGGCCGCGGTCGGCGCAGCGATCGCCGTCCGCGTCTTCGTTCGTCACCCACTCTCCCACAGCTACGAGAAAAGCCCCGTGCCATTCACCTAACTAAAGGTTAACGCAAGTGCTCGCACTGGCGTGAATTTTGATTGGAGCGCTCGTAGGATCGTCCCGATGCAGAGAAAGAGTTCAGGGAAATGAAAAGGTATAGGTACGGCGAACGGCGTGTGCGTGTCGACCGTTCTAGTCACCTCTATTTTTACGATTACCTGTGTGCCCCCCTCTTTCGAGAGAGAGGCGCGCGACCCGTTGCGGTTCCGCGCCTGTCCGCCTAACTTATGGCGGCTAACTCCAGTCTCCACCCGTTGATCCCCGCTCACACCAAGATATCGATTCGCGCAGGGCGGGGACACAACATGTACATGTACATGTATGCATGTGCACGCACATGTGCATGCACATGCATCCCATCTCGATCAGAATCTGCCTTCACCTTTTATTTATTTCTACCCGCTAACTATGAGCGAGAAAGGAACGCTGATCACCCTCCAGCCAGCCACCGCGAGGAGGCGCCGCTTGAGCAGCGTTTGCCCCTTGGGCTTGCGCACGCCCCGGTCGTCGGGCAGGAGGACTGGAAGTGAGAGAGGGGCCATCGTCCACCTCAACGCCGACGCGTGACGAGGGCAGCGCCAGGTCGAGCGAGTAGCCAGTGCGCGGCTCAAGATACTCCTCTTCGAAGCCAAGCTGGAGGGTGGCGAGGGCAGCCGCGATGGAGCGCTGCAAGCCTGACGGCTGAGCTAGGGTCGCCATCGTAGCGTCGCGACAAAGCTGGCGCTGTGAGACGGAAAGGAGATGCTGCAGCCTGTCTGCTCCTCGCTCAAGAGAGAGCCAGAGCTGCCATTGGTGAAGCTGGACGCGGTGCTTGATGCTCGCGATGGAACCTGGGCGAGCGAGTCGCTGATGACGCGTGAGCAGGCGGCCTCGTGCCATCGCTCAGCGGGCCAACGCTCATCGCGCCATCTCAGCTCGCCCCACCATTGCTGCTCGTCGCGTCTGCACACGTTGCGCCGTTGCTCTTCACGCCAGCGGTGTTGCCGAACGTAAAAAAGAAAAAGAAAAAGAAGAGAGCTAAACGATTGGACCCGGTGTGGTCGCTAGACTGAGATGAGACCGCCAGTGGATGTGGGAGTCCACCGCGCACCGCGCTGCGAGCCTGTCGTGTCCCTTGTCAGGAGCAGGAGAGCCCCACCTGTCCCCCTGATCGTCCTTCCAAAATCCTGCTCGTGCAGGTGGGGACCCTGTCCTCGACTCCTCGTCCCATCCCTCGTTTGGCGTGTCTGTTTTCTTTCTTTTTTCCGGTGTGAAAGGACAGACAAGCAAGAGCTAAATCACTGAGAGAGAGAGAGACCCCCCCTCTCCCTTTTCTCCCAGTAAGCTAAAAGTACTACTACTACTGAAAAAAAACGGAAAGTTAACGTTCTTCGTTCGCGGGCGGGTACCAGGTATGTTGTTGTTGACCGCAGCGGTGGTGACGGCAACAGCACGCCAACCCTGTGGCCTGCGGTGCCGCATTTGGGAGGCAATGCTCCGGCGGCGGAGCCATCACCGGCGGCTGCAGGAGGTAGAGAGCTCCTCCAGAAGGGCGCCCAAAACTCTTGGCGACCTCGTCTCTATGCGGCGTCGGCAAGCAGAGGCGGCCTCAACGAGCTCGTGCGATTCGATGCTGCTTTGGCCGTACAATACCACCGAGCAGCAACGGGTGGAGACGGCCTGGCTCGCCGAGGCCGTCTCGCGAAAGAAGAAACTCAAGGGCCACCGAGCCTTCGCAATGTCTCCCTGGATGGCGGCTCTCGACCCGGCGGCATCATCGCTCTTCCAGATCGGCGCCAACAAGCACGAGTCCACATCGTACATCAACACAGAGCCAGGCCCTCTCGCTGTGCACCATGGCTGGAAGTCAACTCTCCTCGAGCCTATACCAGACATCTTCAAGCAATTGCAGAGGACCTATACGCCACAGCCGCCCAACGTGGAACTTGTAAACGCGGCCGTGTGCGACCAGTGCGCCGCCGCGCCGCTTAAAATGTGGTCGGTTGACATGAGCAACGCCACGGGCAACTGGGGGAGCAACGACTCGGACGCCCGCTGTCTCACCGCCAACACGCCCGGTGGAAATGGCTCTCACTTTGTCTCTGAGATCGCCTCTCTCTCCAAGTGCAGCGCACCCTGTGCAAACCGCGACCAGACCCAAGCTCATTCATCTCGACCCCCTTCTGCTGACGCACCGTCAGGTCGCACCTGCTCCGCCACAATCGCTACTTTGCCGTGGGGCCAAACCAGTGTGCTCAGTGCTCAAAGGTACTCGGCCGGCCGCTGCCAAACAACTGCATGCGCCAGGCGGTTGGATGAGGGCGAAGGGGACATGCGTGGATCTCCTAGTTCTCTCACTCTATCGTGTCACGCCTTGCAGGTGATCGCCAATAACCTAGTGACATTTCCGGTGCGATGCTACTGCGCCGAGACCGAGTTGGTGCCGCAGCTGCGGCACGCGCAGAGAGGTGGCGCTGCGGCGCTCTCGCTTTTGGTGAGGGCTAGCCGGGAGATCAATGAGAGGGGGCATGGGTGCGTTCGAGCGAGTCATGCTCAGAACAATCGCGTGGCATGTGAGGCGGTCGATGCGGAGGGACACGACGACGCGGCCTTATACCAGTTCCCTTTTGCCCTCGTGCGCCCTGCCCGCGTCGTCTTCGAGTCCACCCACCTGACCAGCCTCCGCTTCCTCCGGTGCGCCCGCCTCCCCACCGCCCTTCGACGCCGCACACAGCACCTACACATCTCCTTATCTCGCCAGTGCCTCGGCAGGCTCGCCGAGTTCCTGCGCTCATATGGCTACGAGATGCTGTCGGTCGACGCCAGCTCCGTCTCGCGTCAGAAGCATGGTGACCGAACCGGGCTCAGGCAAGGGCACTGCGTTTGGCGCCCTGCCCGATACCATCCCCATCAGACTCCAGAGCACCCCCTCACACCTAGCTGCGGCTCAGGCATCACGTCGACTCTGCAGAGCCGCTGCGCGACTGCCGAAAGGCTCCCGGCCGCTGCCGGGCGAGCGCCGCCGCACCTGCGCTGCAGCCGACTCGGCCCGCCCCGCCGCCGCGCAGCATCGCCCGAATGGTGCGTCTGAGGCATATTTCTGATCACAGCGTGAGGACTCTTTTCATGATCTGGGCCTCTAAACAGGTGGGTGCGCCCAAGACCGGCGAGCTGCTCGATAGGCTCTGCCTTGCAGCCACACGCGCCGCGCCCCCCATCAGCCGGCGTATCTCCTCGGCTGGCGCGAGAGCGGTTGTGGTGGAAGCGGTGGGCGGCAACGGCGGCGAGGGTGGGGGAGGAGGAGGGGGCGGCGTGCGGGGCGATGTGGTACGGGCAATCGCAGCCGACCTGCTGCGTCGCTGCAACACGCGGGATCACGGCCCGGAGCGGGATGCGAGCGTGGAGTCCCAACGCGCCGCTCGCCTGCTGGCGAGGAAGCGTGGCTGGCATCAGGACGCGTGGATCGTCCTCGCGGGGGCTTCGCAGGCGGTGGTGTAGTGTGCCCTGGGAGAAAGAAAGAAAGTTCCCTGACACACATTGATCCCTCCCACCCTCCCTCCGACCCTCCCTTGGGGCGTCTGTCTTCTTTCTTTCTTTCTTTCCACCCTCCCTGGTCTGGCCGAAATTTTTCGCGGTATCCGCGGTACGGGGAGATACGGGGAGATGCGGGGAGATACGGGGAGATACGGGGAGATACGGGGAGATACGTTTCACATTACTTTTTTCACAAAGACCGCAGGGCGGGGACCTGTTCCTTTTTACCCATCTCCTAGTAGAAAGAAAGAAAGAAAGAAAACAGACAACCCAAGGGTAGAGATGTTCCGTTTTGTCCGGTGTTATTACTTTTTTTCGCCGGCCAAGTCAGCTGTACCCCCTCCGACTCGCTCGCTCAGGGCTCTGACAGGCACTCGCTTCAGGCGACCGGACACACATCTCCACCCGCAGAATGCGAGGCCCGCCGCCGCGGCTCGCCCTCCTCCTTCTCGCCTCCGGCTCCTCCGCGACCACCGAGTGGCGGATCGCCGTCCTGCCCGACGGCCGCCCCTTTGCGCCGACCGACTTTGCGCTCGCTCCGTCGCCGCCGCTCGACGCCGCGGCGCTCAAGCAGGGCGAGGCGCTCTTCGCGCTGGAGTACGCGTCGGTGGACGCGGCGACGCGGATCTGGACCGACGGCGGCGGCTCGGCGCAGGGCTGGGGCTTCTTCTCCAAGCTGCAGAAGCGGCCCGGCGACGCGATGTTCACGTTTGGCGCCGTGCTGCGCTGCCTCGCGTCGCGCCACCCCGACTGGGCGGCGGGCGAGCTGGGAGTGGGCGCGTCGGCGATCCGGGCGGTGCAGGTCCTCGACCCGGCGGCGGCGCGGCTGCGCAAGGCGCTCGGCAGCGTCGACCCGTCGCTCGAGCTGTCTGTCCTCGGCACCACGACGGGGCTCACGGGTGAAGACACGCGCCTCCGTGAGGCGGCTCCGAGATCCGCCCTCCGACCTGACGCAGCCCCCTCTCCGCCCTCCCCCGCTGCCCAGCGCTGCTCGCCATCGAGAAGCTGCTGCCGCCCCGGCCAGAGGGGCCGGGCGTGGTGTATGTGTCGGCCGCGGCGGGCGGGGTCGGGCTGCTGGCGGCGCAGCTCTTCCAGCTGCGCAACGCGACGCGCGTCATCGGCTCGGCTGGGACGGACGAGAAGGCGCGGCGGCCGCGCTGCAGGGCGCCGACCGAGGGAGAGGAGGAGAGGGAGAGGGGCGGGTCGTCCTGTCGGCAGGTGCGACTGCTGCGGTCCAAGTACGGCGTCGAGGCCTTCAACTACCGCCGCCAGGCCGTCGGCGACGCGCTCGCCGCCCTCGCCCCCGAGGGAGTCGACGTCTTCTTCGACGGCGGCCGCCCCTTCCCCCGCGCCGCGCCAGAGCGCGGCTCCACCGACGCCCCTCCCCCGCTCTCTCGCCCCGCCGCCGCCCGCCGCCCGCCGCCCGCCGCCCGCCGCCCGGGTCACCGCCTCTGCCGCCGCGGCCAGGCGTCGGCGGGCGCACGCTCGACGAGGCGCTGCTACACATGAGCAAGTTCGGCACCGTCCTCAACGTCGGCGCCGTCTCCGAGTTCTCCTCCTCGTCGCGCGGCGGCCTCGCCAACGCGCACGCCATCACCGACCGCGCCCTTCGCATCTCGGGCTTTGGCGTCGCGAACTACGTGCCCGACTTTGCGGACGCGCGCCGCCGGCGAGCCGCACCCGCACCCGCACCCTCGCCCTGCCTCCTCTGCCCGTACCGCCACTCTCTTGCCGGAGCAGGCTCGCCGACCTCGTCCTCGCCGGCAAGCTCACGACCGAGGAGACCGTCTTTGGGTGGGAGGAGTACGGCGCAGCGCACACCGCGCTCCACGCCGGCGGCAGCGTCGGCAAGGTGCTCGTCGCCGGCCCCGTCGCCGCGGCGCCGCGGGGAGGAGGAGGAGGAGGGGACGGGGGCGGAGGAGGGGGCGGAGGGCCGGAGGCCGTGGCGGAGCTGGTGGTGCGGGCAGGCGCTTCGCTCGGGCGCGACACGGCGGCCTTCGCCCACTCCCTCGTGCACGACCACTGGGTCGACTCGGTCTCCGCGCTGCGAGTGCTACAGGCGGCTCAATTTGCCACCTTCGAGCACACCTCCCTGTGGCTTGTCCGTGACTGTGACGCGCCCGTGGCACGCCGCTTGCAGGCCCCCGACCTGATTGCGCTCGGCCTTCCGGGGCGCCTCGCGGCCGAGATTGTCAAGCAGGCGGCCAGCGCAGGGGAGGAGGCAGGAGCACGATTGGAGTGGAGAAGAGGCGCCGGCGCCGGCTGGGCGAGCGCGGCGGTCTCGCCGGTCCCGCCGCACGGTCATAGCACGGGCGACGGTCGCGTGAGCCGCCATCGGCCCGACTCGATCGCCACGGCCGCGTCGGAGTCGTCCGACCGCCGACTCTTCTGGAGCGCCGTCCTCGGCCTCCTCGTCGCCGCCGTCGGCCGTGGCAGACTGGCGTCTGCTGCGTGGTCGGCCGGCTGCAGCCTCCTCTCTCGCGTGGGCCGCGGGGCCGTGCCCGCCCTCCTCGCGTCACTGCGGCACGCCGCCTCCGCTGTCGCCGCCGCCGCCCTCGCGCTCGCCGCCGCCGCTGCCACCGCAGTGGCCGTGCGCTTGCGCAAGGTGCGACGCTGGAGCGCAATCGCGGTGGAGACAATCTCATGCCTCCCGCCGGCCTCATCGCAACCCGGTCACACCAGGTGATCGACGCGCTGCAGCAGACGAGCGAGTCGGACGAGGCCGCCTGCACGCCCCCTGCCCGCGCCGCGGCAGCGACTCCTTCACCCGTCACCCACCCTCCTCCACCCTCCCTTCCTCCACCCCCCCTCCCTGTCCGCCCCGGCAGGCCGTGCGCGCCCTCCTCGCTCGAGCGTCGAGCTCGGACGGCGGCGGGTCTCGCTCGGACGATGATCGGCCGTACACGCCCTACTCTGCCCGCTCCCACCAGAACAGGCCCTTTGCCGGTGAGGCCGAGTCGCCTTCCACGCCCGTCGCTGGCGCGGAGGCCGCGGGCGCAAAGCTTGGGGCGGCGGACGCGTCGGCGGCCTCGCCCGCAGTAGAGGCGGGATACGGGGTGGAGGCGGAGGCGGAGCAGGCGCGCGCAGAGCAGAGCGCGGAGCAGAGCGCGGAGCAGCCCCGGCACAGCGATGACGCCGGCGCCCGAATGAGAGCGTCGCACTTGTGGCGTGAGGGCAGGATTGTTGCTGTAGGCAATGCGAGGACACCGGGCCCGGCGGTGCGAGCGTGGGGTCCGGCGGCGCAAGAAGAATCCGTGCGCACTCGCCCGGCGTACGTCGAATGTGCGTTATGTGAGCTACGAATCGGCTCTAGTTTGTGTTGCGCTTGAGAGTAACAGAATCTCTTTGGGTGCGGCGGGAAAGGCCAGTGCCATCGCACACGGCCCGTGCCCGCGTCGACCGTCGTACTCGTATGCTGCTAGAGGCGCGTTACTTTCTCCGTTTGACAACACATCAAGAGCACACATCTGTAATATCTCACCACGCCGCCCCAACCCCATCTGCCGCCGAGGCTTCCGCCTCCCGGTCCCGCTCCGCGAGTAGTTCCGATAGCGGCGACTGCCGCGGCGAAGCGTCGAAGCGCGAGAACTTGAAGCGTGTCTCGAAGGGCGATCCGACCTCGTACATGCTCGCCTCACCCTCGATGGCGCCCTCAGCTTGCGCCGAGGTGGTGAAGTGGCCCTCCGGCGGGTAGACATCCACTCTTCCGTGCCGTGGCAGCGCCGATGAGAAGGACTGCCCGACGATTCCGTGAGGCAGGTGGCGAGCCGCGTAGTCTCCTCGGAGCACAAAGCCGATGTCGACGCGGTGCAGCGGCCCCATGCTCGCATAGGTGCGCGCGCCCTTGACGTTGATGGTCCAATATTTTGCTGAGAAGGTCGCGGAAGCCATGCTCATCGCGACATTCAGATCTTCGCACGCCCTGTGACCACCCTTGCCAAAACGGAAGCGGCGGCCGCCGCAGTACCCTGTGATGACCTCCCAGCCCCAATTATTCTCGTCGAGCTGCGAGCCCCAGAAGGAGAGGTTGGACCACTTGCGCTTCTCGCCGCCGACTAGGGCCGCCAGGTGCAGCTCCGTGATGAAGGATCCGTTCACGGTGAGCTTGTTGTTGTTGAGCTTGAAGGTGGCCGCCTCGATCTTAACATTGACAGACAAGCCCGGTGCCGAGAAGAAGTTGTAGAGCTGGCCGTTGCGGCCGCGAAAGTCGGCGCGACCGCCGTGGGCGAGGTGGAGATGGGGGTCCTACAGCCAAGATCACAGCCGTGAGCCTAGATGCGGCCTAGCAGGCAGCCGAGAAATGGGCGGCTGGAGGTGCACGGCGCCTGCTGAATGCTCAAGCCCATTTCTACAAAGCGCTCTCGAAAGCGCGTCGAGCCTCCCTCCCCTGTCCCCCACGGCGGCGGCGGCGGCGGCGGCGGCGGCGGCGGCGATAGCAGCGGCGGCGGCGGTGACGGCGGTGGTGAAGGCGGCGGCGGGACGGGGCTTCTTTGAAAGAAGAAGAGTTGGGTGCCTTGCACCGAGGCCTCGCCTCCTCCCCCGGGGCATTGGGAGCCCGCTGCCCCACTGAGACGGCCCGGCGTGTGCAGAATCGGGCCATCGCTCACGCCATAGGCGGAGACGAGCCCATCGAACTCGTTCAGCATGGGCAGGTCTGAAATGTTCGACTTGTATGTCACTGCGTCCGCGGGGTAGGAGGTCGATGTGGCGGAAATGTTGCCAAGGCATTTCCTTCCCCCCCGGGTGGTGATGGTGTGTGAGACACCACTCACGTCCCGCAGCGTCCCCTGCGCCGGCGTCAGCAAGAAATCGCTCGCAGTTGCGATCACAATGCAGAGGCCCTCCTTGTTCACGTCGTTGTAATTGTTCGTCTGCGGTAGACCACGATTGTTGGGTTGCAGGTGTGCGCACCTATGGGAGAGAGGAGGAGAATGTCGCACGCCTGTCACCATAGCTCGGGCGATCCTGCTTTCTGCCACCCGTCATCATGTAGTGTCATGGTCACGCCGTCCGCTGCCGTCGCTTCCACATCCTTCCACATGCTGGCATGTGCGTCGCATCTGCCAGAGGGAGAGATGTGGATGTGGACGATGGGTTCGAAAAGGAGAAAGCCACGAGTGTGGGCCCTCGCCTGGCCTGAGCATCGACACACGACAGCTTGACCAAAATATGCTTCCCCGAAAGCAGGGTTGTGCTCACGTAGTCTGTGGCCTGACAAAGAGAGAAGCGGGGCGGTGAAAGAGCGAGGAAGGCTTGATGTGTCCGAGCGAGAGCGCCTGGTACGGAGCTGGTCCACCAAAACCAGGGATCCTGTACACGGTGGTACCACGCTTCGATTCATTCTCAACACACACCTGAAACTTCACCCGCTCTCCTATGCGCAGGCGAGTGGGATGGGTCAGCATTCGGCGTCTCAAGGGCAACGGCGATTGCAGCCCGTGCCAACGCTGAGTCGCAGTGGGTTGCAGCTTCCATCAGGGCAGATGGAGATGGCAATGTTCCCCCCGACGGCGCAAGTTTCGGGCCAAGGAGTCGCCATCGCTCGGGGCGGCGGCAGAGTGGGAGGGGGAGGGGGGAGTGAGACGGCGTCGTTTTGAGCACGGACACAGCTGCACGTAAGAGAAGAATTCAGGATTCGGGTGCGGACTGGCGCGAGTTGGCACTAACACAGGCAAGTAAGAAAGAACGGAAAGTTATTTATCATTCACACAACAAAGTGTCAAGCAAAAAAACTCGATTTGACAGTTGCACGGCTCATCAACATTTAGATCAATCTATCTATCTCCTTCCTTCCTTCCTTTCAGTCCATGCCAATGTGCCAACGCGGACGGCCATTGGCATTGCGGGCATGGATCGCATCGTACACCACCTTTTTATGGTCCTCCTTCAGCAGTTCGCGCAGCGCCCGCAGCGCCGTCCGCAGCCCCTTGCATGTGCTGCTGAGCATGGCGACGACGGCGGGCTCGAGAGGGTCAGGATACCCATCACTGAGCGGACGATGCTACGGGTAGCCCCAGGGTGCCGCCCACCCCAATACCCTCGGGCACTTGCCTGCGCCCTGGCCGCGCACGCCGCGCACGCCCCGCGCACGCCGCGCACGCCCCGCGCACGCCGCGCACGCCCCGCGCACGCCGCGCACGCCCCGCGCACGCCGCGCACGCCCCGCGCACGCCGCGCACGCCCCGCGCACGCCGCGCACGCCCCGCGCACGCTCCGCGCGCACGCCGCACTACGCGGCACTGCGTGGCACTGTGTGGCGCTTCGCCGATCTGAGCAGGGAACCTGGGCGTTTTGAAATTCCGTGCAAGGGGGATGCCGAGGTATGCCGCGGGCCGGGATGGAGTGAGATCTTGTGCGGGGCAGGGCGTGGGCTAGCGCACGAGGGCGCAGGCAAGTGCCCGAGGGTATATGGGGGTGGGCACCACCCTGGGGCTACCCGTAGCATCGTCGGCTCAGTGATATGGGTATCCTCAGAGAGGGCGTCGGCGATCACGGCCAGCTCGTCGTGGCTCAGCTGTCAGCTCGAGCACGAGCAGGCAGCGCGAGGACTCGTCTCTGCTGCTAGCCAGGCGCGTCGCCTGGCATATGTCCGCCGGGTTCTAACTACTCTGGTCGGCGGAGGTGTGAATTCCACAATGCTGCCGGGCGCGAGTCTTACACACACGTATTTTACAGGTTCAAGACTGACGTAGAGACACGCGGGCGGACGCCACATATCGCACTCCACAGGTGACAAGTCTAATACAGAGGAGGGAACCGGGTCCGAGAGACTGCATATCGTGCGCTACCGGACCGCGCCCGCGCGGTCCGCATTTGTGAGCGAGGAGAGAGTGCCAGGGCCGCCCTGGTATGGCAGCGTGTAAAGGGGCCCTTTGATCCAGGGGTGGTCGTAGTCGGTGCCTGAACGGCAGACCCGCCGCGGGGCGGCCCCGAGGTCACCGAGGCCGCGGCGTGGGGGAGGGGGGGGGGGGGCTGGCGCACCGTCAGAGGCGTGCCCAAGCAGGTCCTGCAGTTCGGGCGGCATCTCCTTTTGGATCTCGTTCGGGATGCCTGTTCACGGGCGAAGCGCGGTGATGGGCTGCCCCCCCCCTCCCCCAAGCTGGACTGCGAGGCGGGCGGTGCGCCAAAATGGAAATTGATCAGGTTGTTGAGCCAGCCGAGGTAGTAGATGAAGATGAGCCTATGGGACGTGTCGTGGACACGTCGTGATGGCGCATTTTGAGCCAGCCCGAAGGCCTGCCTGAAGACGAACCCGTCGCGCGGCGGCGCGCTGCCGTCGTGCTGCCCCGCGCCGTGCAGCGTCGAGCCGAGGTAGAAGAGGGCACTCCCCTCCGGCATCGCGCCCGGCACGATCTGAGTCCCCTCGGGCAGGCCGCCCCCCATGCTGCCAATCCCGGCGCCGCCGCCACCGCCGCCTTCGCTCGGCCGCTTGCCATCCGTCGGCGAGGGTGGCCACTTGTGCGAGCCTAAAGGGCCGTGCCGTGGACACGTCGTGGACAAGCGTCTCATCTCAAGGAGGGGCGGCCCCCATGCGCGAGCCGGGGACGACGTTGGTGGCGCCGTTGGCGGCGGTGAACTCGTTGGCGGCCCACATGACTCCGACGAGGAACTCGGGCCGGAAGCCGTCCATGTAGGGCCAATCCGACGCGGCGAACTGGTAGTCGTCGCGGTGCAGCACCTGCCGGGAGGGTTCCGAGAAGGTTCGTGGAACGCGCAGCGCGGGAGGCGTCGCCAAGTCCCGATCTGTGGGCGGCCGTGGAGCGCGGACGCGCCTGTCTCGGCGCCTGGTACGTCTTGTCGGACTTGCCGGGTACCTTGACGATCCTGGTCGCGACGCCGAGCTTGAACCTTTTGGCGTACGGCGAGAGCACCTGCGTCAGCGACGGCACAAGGACAACCGACACCGTCAACGGAGGGTGAGCTGCCGCTGGGCGTGCGGCGACGGCGCCTTGTCGACGATCTGCATCGTCAGCTCGTGCGTCGCGAGCCGCTGCGCCACCTGAGAGGCCAACGCATCCGTGCCGCTACCTTCACCGTGGCCGACTGCACGCCTCGGCACGGTGCGGCGCTCGCCTTGCTCTTGCCCAGCACCACCGCCGCGTTCCGCTTGGTGTCCTCTCCCGACCACGAGCCGCGCGTGCCCGAGAAGATGTAGCCGGCGGAATCCATCTCCTCTCGCAACTTGGCGGTGGTTGCCTTGAGGACCAGACGCATGGGCTTCTCTACGGCGGCTCTGTCGTGAGTGCGGGGTAGGGGAGTGGTCTATTCAAGCTCGCCGCGTCCGCGAGACCCGTCACGACGCAGTAGCCCTCTCTGAGCATCGCCGCGACAATCGCATCCGCGCCCGCCGTCGCAGGGAGCGTCACCGGCTTTGGGTGCTCGGGCGGCGGCGGCGGCGGCTGCGCCGGACCAATCCACGAAGTCGTCCCTCTGGGCGTCACGTTCACCTAGAGCCGACATGGGGGTGCGAGATTTGGCCGAGGCGACGCGGCGCACGCGTGCCGCCGCGAAGCAGTGCCGTGGCCAGAGGCTCTCCTCCGCTGTCGAGATGCTGCTCGGCACGCTCCGCGAGTAGCGATGCGAGCCGGCCCGGCAGGCCGAGCGCGATCAGGTCCGAGACGGAGAGGGCTCGCAGCGCGGAGACCGAGTCGACCCAGTGGTCGTGCACGAGGGAGTGGGCGAAGGCCGCCGTGTCGCGCCCGAGCGAAGCGCCTGCCCGCACCACCAGCTCCGCCACGGCCTCCGGCCCTCCGCCCCCTCCTCCGCCCCCGTCCCCTCCTCCTCCTCCTCCCCGCGGCGCCGCGGCGACGGGGCCGGCGACGAGCACCTTGCCGACGCTGCCGCCGGCGTGGAGCGCGGTGTGCGCTGCGCCGTACTCCTCCCACCCAAAGACGGTCTCCTCGGTCGTGAGCTTGCCGGCGAGGACGAGGTCGGCGAGCCTGCTCCGGCAAGAGAGTGGCGGTAGGGGCAGAGGAGGCAGGGCGAGGGTGCGGGTGCGGGTGCGGCTCGCCGGCGGCGCGCGTCCGCAAAGTCGGGCACGTAGTTCGCGACGCCAAAGCCCGAGATGCGAAGGGCGCGGTCGGTGATGGCGTGCGCGTTGGCGAGGCCGCCGCGCGACGAGGAGGAGAACTCGGAGACGGCGCCGACGTTGAGGACGGTGCCGAACTTGCTCATGTGTAGCAGCGCCTCGTCGAGCGTGCGCCCGCCGACGCCTGGCCGCGGCGGCAGAGGCGGTGACCCGGGCGGCGGGCGGCGGGCGGCGGGCGGCGGGCGGCGGGCGGCGGGCGGCGGGCGGCGGGCGGCGGGCGGCGGGCGGCGGGCGGCGGCGGGGCGAGAGAGCGGGGGAGGGGCGTCGGTGGAGCCGCGCTCTGGCGCGGCGCGGGGGAAGGGGCGGCCGCCGTCGAAGAAGACGTCGACTCCCTCGGGGGCGAGGGCGGCGAGCGCGTCGCCGACGGCCTGGCGGCGGTAGTTGAAGGCCTCGATGCCGTACTTGGACCGCAGCAGTCGCACCTGCCGACAGGACGACCCGCCCCTCTCCCTCTCCTCCCTCTCCCTCGGTCGGCGCCCTGCAGCGCGGCCGCCGCGCCTTCTCGTCCGTCCCAGCCGAGCCGATGACGCGCGTCGCGTTGCGCAGCTGGAAGAGCTGCGCCGCCAGCAGCCCGACCCCGCCCGCCGCGGCCGACACATACACCACGCCCGGCCCCTCTGGCCGGGGCGGCAGCAGCTTCTCGATGGCGAGCAGCGCTAGGCAGCGGGGGGAGGGCGGAGAGGGGGCTGCGTCAGGTCGGAGGGCGGATCTCGGAGCCGCCTCACGGAGGCGCGTGTCTTCACCCGTGAGCCCCGTCGTGGTGCCGAGGACAGACAGCTCGAGCGACGGGTCGACGCTGCCGAGCGCCTTGCGCAGCCGCGCCGCCGCCGGGTCGAGGACCTGCACCGCCCGGATCGCTGACGCGCCCACTCCCAGCTCGCCCGCCGCCCAGTCGGGGTGGCGCGACGCGAGGCAGCGCAGCACGGCGCCAAACGTGAACATCGCGTCGCCGGGCCGCTTCTGCAGCTTGGAGAAGAAGCCCCAGCCCTGCGCCGAGCCGCCGCCGTCGGTCCAGATCCGCGTCGCCGCGTCCACCGACGCGTACTCCAGCGCGAAGAGCGCCTCGCCCTGCTTGAGCGCCGCGGCGTCGAGCGGCGGCGACGGAGCGAGCGCAAAGTCGGTCGGCGCAAAGGGGCGGCCGTCGGGCAGGACGGCGATCCGCCACTCGGTGGTCGCTGAGGAGCCGGAGGCGAGAAGGAGGAGGGCGAGCCGCGGCGGCGGGCGTCGCATTCTGCGGGTGGAGATGTGTGTCCGGTCGCCTGAAGCGAGTGCCTGTCAGAGCCCTGAGCGAGCGAGTCGGAGGGGGTACAGCTGACTTGGCCGGCGAAAAAAAGTAATAACACCGGACAAAACGGAACATCTCTACCCTTGGGTTGTCTGTTTTCTTTCTTTCTTTCTTTCTACTAGGAGATGGGTAAAAAGGAACAGGTCCCCGCCCTGCGGTCTTTGTGAAAAAAGTAATGTGAAACGTATCTCCCCGTATCTCCCCGTATCTCCCCGTATCTCCCCGCATCTCCCCGCATCTCCCCGTACATCGCGCCGCGGATACCGCGAAAAAATTCGGCCACACCAGGGAGGGTGGAAAGAAAGAAAGAAACAAGGCAGCAACCCACATCGACATCGAGGAGGGATCAATGTGTGTCAGGGAACTTTCTTTCTTTCTTTCGGTCACCAGGGCACACTACACCACCGCCTGCGAAGCCCCCGCGAGGACGATCCACGCGTCCTGATGCCAGCCGCCACCCACCCAAGAGAGAGAGAGAACAGACGCTCCTCGCCAGCAGGCGAAAGAAAGAAAGAAATAAGCGTACCGCCGAAACGACAACAACCTCTCTCTCCCGAAACGAGGATGGGGCGAGGACAGGGTCCCCACCTTCACTTCACGAGCAGGATTTTGATGAAGGACGATCAGGGACACAGGGGAACCGGAGTGGGAAGAGAATGCGGATTTTTCTTCACGGCCTGGTGAGCCGGTGTGTGTGCCAGTCCGCGCCAGTCCGCGCCCTTGCCAGTGTGCTGTGAGAGCACGATGGGTATTCTTCACGGCCTGCCGATGTTGGCCGCAGGCTCGTCTCTGTGCTCGCTCCGGGATGGACGACGACGACCTGGCGCTTGCTCTTCGCCTCCAGGAGGAAGAGCAGAGCCGCCACCCGCCGGCTCCCGCGGGGGAAGAGGACGAAGCGTATGCCCGGCAGCTTCAGCGGGAGGAGGAGGAGGCTAGAGCCGGCGGCGGCAGCGACGACGCGGCGCTAGCGGAGCGGCTTCAAACGGAGGAGGCGGAGACTTCGCTGGCGGAGCGGATACGGGCTGGTGACGAGGCGCTGGCAAGGCGGTTTGAGGGAGAGGAGCGGAGGCTGCAGCTGGTCGCTGCGCGGCTCGGTGGCGTTGGCGTTGGCGTGGCAATCGATTGCGATGCGGACGTCGCCCTGGCGTGGCAGCTGCACGAGGAAGAGGAGCGGGCGGCGGCCCTCCGCCGCGGCGGTGACGATGGAGAGGTGAGTGCCCGCCCCCAGACGCGACCCGCTCGAGACACCCGCCCCGCGCCCGCATTCGGACCAGCCTCACCTAACTACTGCCTGTTGCCGGCCCGTTGCCGGGTAGAGCGACGCGGCGCTGGCCCGCGAGCTTGGGGCGGTCGAGCTGGACCAGCAGCACGGCGGAGGGGTCTGGTACTCCAAGCATGGCGCCGCAACAGTGGCGGAGCGGGCGGCGCCGCAGAGGGCCCGGCGAGCGAGGCAGATTGTCTCGTGCTCCGGCGCGGCGGCGAGGGGGACGCACCTGCAGCTTGGGGGCGACGCGCCGCCGACGCCGCTGCGGCCGCAGCCGCCACCACAGCCGCCACCGCCGCCACTGATGCCGCCGCCGCCGCCGCCGCCGCCGCCCTGCGATCGCAGTTTTGCCCAGGCGGTTAGTGAGCGCAGCGCAGCGCAGAGGTCTGCGTCGGCGGGGGCAGCGCGGCCGCCGGCGCGGCACGCAGCGGCACCTCCCGCCTCCTCCGCCGCGTCTTCGGTCGCCTCCTCTCCCGCCGCCTCCCTCTCCTCCCGCGGCGTAGACGGCACCGTCGTCGGGCGGCACGCTCCGCCGGGCGAGGGGGGCGGCGGCGGCGGCGGAGCGGCGAGGAGGGGGGCGGGGAGCGGGCCTCGCCTGGCGCTGACCTCGCTGCCGGCGATGCAGGCGTCGCTCGCAGGCTCGGCCGCCGGCCGCAGCGGCGGCGCAGCGCCGCGCGTGCTGCTCGTGGTCGACGGCGCAAACGTGGCGAGGTGCGCTGCAGAGACAGCCTCGCCTGTGGATGCAACACTCTAGCACCAGTGCACACTCTAGCACCAGTGCACACTCTAGCACCAGTGCACACTCTAGCACCAGTGCACACTCTAGCACCAGTGCACACTCTAGCACCAGTGCACACTCTAGCACCAGTGCACACTCTAGCACCAGTGCACACTCTAGCACCAGTGCACACTCTAGCACCAGTGCACACTCTAGCACCAGTGCACACTCTAGCACCAGTGCACACTCCCATCCCGTCCGCTCGACCCGTCCGCCAGGTTCCGCCAGGACGGCTCCTTCCGCCCGTCGGCGCTGCGCGCGTGCGTCGAATTCTTCGCACGTGAGGGCGTCCCGGAGGCGAGGAGTGGCGCGGCGCTCTCCGCCGCGAGGCCGGCTGGCGCTGCTCTCACACCCCGCCCTGTGCCTGTCGTTGAGGCGCGCGTGGTGGTGACGCTCTCAGAGACGCACTGGCAGACCGTCGTCGCGGACGCATGGGGCAAGTCGCTCGACGCACGCGAGGGCGTCGCGTGGACGCCGACGGGGACGGACGACGACCTCTTCACCATCCAGCTGGCGGCGTCGTCGGGCGCGTGGGTTGTGACAAACGACCGGTTTGAAAACCACCCAGCTTGGGCGGCGCCGGTTCGAGGCCGGCTGGTGCGCCCCCCTCACTCTGCGCGGGCAAGTCGAGCACCCGAAATCTGCAGCGCCTGATGCGGCTCGGTGTGCGAGCAGGTGCGCTTCGCCTTCGCCGGCGCGAGCCTCTTTGTGCCGGCTGCAGACGACCTGGACCGCTTCCGGCAGGCGGCCAGCGTGGCTGCGCCGCGCCATCGGCACGCGCGTTGAATTGGTCCTGTGCTAGCACTACTTACTACAGACAAAAGGGAGTACGAAGAGTGCGCGGTCGGCGATAGAAGTCGTAGTAAATGTACTACCCCCCCTGCCCACCACGGGCCGCAGTCCGCAGACCCGAAGCACCCCGCCCGGCGTCGACTGCAGAGGGCCAACCGTCCAAATCGCCGCCGCGCGAGTACCACGAGCAAGAGCGCCGCAGCGCCGCCCATTACGGCACCAACAATGGCAGCCATATGGGAGGCGCGACGGCGAGCTTTCAGGCTGCCCGCGTCCACCGCCCCCGGGACGGCGCCAGTGAAATGCGCGGCAAGGAAGGCCTCAGCGGCCTCAGCGATCGACAGCGTCTCCACAGCAGTAGCCTCGAGCGCAGAAGGGGACACAGCAGGCGGCTGCGGCGACGGCGGCGACGGCGGCGGCGGCGATGGCAGCGGCGGCGGCGGCGATGGCGGCGGCGGCGACGGCGATGGCGGCGGCGGCGACGGCGATGGCGGCGGCGGCGAAGACGTAGGGACTGGTGGAGATGGCGACGGCGGTGGCGGTGGCGGCTGCGGAGAGAGATTTCCAGGCGGCGGGGCGACGCAGCGGTGTCTCAGGTCACCCATCAGGCAACGGTACTGGCCAGTCAAGCGATGCTCCTTGTAGAAGCAGAGCGCGCAACCCGAGCTGCAGCCGGCGGCGCCCACAGCCGGCGCAGTAGAGTCGACGTCTTCTTCCCATGACTGCCTGGGTGAGAAGGTGAGCGGATCATCATGGGTACGCGAGTAGAAAGTTCAAGGTTCATGCGCTTGCACCACTGACCCTGCTCGCCGAGCTGCCACCCGTGGTCGCCGATCACTTTTGTGGACTGGCGGCGGAGTTGCCCGCCAAAAGAAAGCCAGTTGACTTGGGCCCTGCGGGCGGCCTTCTCTCGAGGTCTCGAGATACACAAAGCGGCCAACGTGAATAGGTTGAAGGTTGGTTGGGTTGGGCCAGTGTCTGTGTCCTCTGTCCACAGTCACTCGCTGTCGACGCGTCCGCCTTCCTCGGCCGGGTCCCCAATGCAGCTCGGCCGCGCACCTATCGGTGCCTCATCATGGCCCGTGACGCATCTCCGCAACTCGGCACGGGCCGGGCCCGCTGCCACGTATCAACCCAGCACCATCTCACTCGAGCGACACGCAGAGGTGTTCCGCCGCGTCAAGGCATGGCCAGCCTACGCCCCGACCCCGCTGCTGTCTCTTCCAGCAATGGCGGCCCGCGTGGGAGTCGGCCGCGTGTACGTCAAGGACGAGGGCCAGCGTTTCGGCCTCGGCAGCTTCAAGCCGCTCGGTGGAGGCCTCGTCGTCGAGGACTGCGCAGGCTGTAGTGGAGAGACTGGCTCAACCCAGTCTCCTCCTGATCTCGATCGTCGCCGTGCCCATAGGACCTCGCCCTGGCCGCGGCGGCGAAGGGTGAGGCGAAGCCAGTCATTGCGACGGCGTCTGCAGGCAACCACGGGATCGGAGTTGCGTGGGGCGCGCAGCAGGCCGGGTGCCGCTCGCTGGTGTACCTCCACGGCGGAGTCAGCGCCGGGGCGGAGTCGACGATTCGACGGTACGGCGCCGAGACGGTGCGCGTGGAGGGCGACTACGCCGCCTCCGTCCGCGCCTGCGCTGCCGACGCGGCGGAGCACGGCTGGGAGGTTGTTCAGGACACGTCTTGGCCAGGTTACGAGGCGGTGCCAGCGCGCATATACCAAGGCTACACGGTGGTCGCCGAAGAGATGCTCGAGCAGCTGCGGTCCGAGCCTTCGCCGTCGATGCCGACGCACGTCTTGATCAACGCCGGTGTCGGCGGCTTCGCGGCGGGCATGTGCGCGCACCTGTGGGAGCGACTCGGCTCCGAGCGGCCTCGCTTCATCGCGGTGGAGCCGACCGAAGCCAACTGCCTGCAGTGCTCCGCGGAGGCGGGTGCACTGACCGCCTCCCCTCACAGCGACGCTGGCACGGTACAGACCGGGCTGGACTGCACCGAGGTGGCGGAAGTGGCGTGGAGAGTCCTCGCGACCGGCGTCGACGACTTTGTCGCGGTGCCGGATGCTGTCGTCGAGCCCGCGATGAGGCTCCTCGCCGACGACTCGCCGGCCGTGGTGGCGGGGCACTCGGCGGTTGCCGGGATCGGCGCCCTCCTCGCCGCCGCCGCGCAGCCGGGGCTGCAGCAAAGCCTTGGGCTCGGCCCGGACTCCGTGGTCGCTGCGGTGATCTGTGAGGGCGCCGTCGACAGCCAGGCCTTCGAGGCCGCCGTCGGGGCGTCGCCGGAGGAGGTGCAGGCCCGGAGGTAGCGTGAGCGACCGGGCTTGGCCATGCGAGATCTAGCCAGAGACGTACCGCGAAGACGTTCGTGGGAGAGGTGAATAGAAGTGTGAATAGGACCCGTATCTCAGGTATCCGGTATGCGGTAACTCTTGTCCTGCATCAATCGAGAGACAGCGTGTGCTTTTGAGGAGAAACACAGGAGACATAGAGATTCCGTACCGCAATAGATCCGTGCAGGATTGATTGCGCTTGTGGTTGTGCGTGTTTGCGCGCATATACATCGCTCATCGGTGTGTGATTCTATCGAAATCTCCCCCGGCGAGATAGATAGAGAAGACAGAAGTGAGTTCACACGGCCAGTCGGAAGACCAGCCGTGTACGAGAAGAGCCCGAGAAGGCAGAAGCGTCTCTAGACGTGAGACGCTAGGGTCGCCCCCCCCCTGCGGCCCCACCAGCCACCAGCACCACCTTGTGTGTGAGTGTGTGTGGAGAAGCGTTTACCTCTAACCTTGGAACATGGAAGCTCGAGATCGACACTCGCCACCTGTGTCGGTCTGGGGCGACCAGTCACACACAGTGATAAGAGATTTGCGAAAACGCATTCGTCTTGTTCATAGGATCGTCGGCCGTAAAGTCGTGCATCGAAACAAGTTGCGAGTAAAAGTAGTGTGGCAAACTGAAGTTTGCGCCAGCGACGCAGCGACACCACGCGACCCTGTGCCGCAGCTATGATCACCCACGTGTCCGCCCCCCGCAAGTGGTCAAAGCTCTTGTTCGTGGCCGTGGCGGCGGCGGTCGTGCTCATGGTGGCCCTGTCGGGCGCCCGCGCGCTCGGCCTGCAAGGTGAGGCTGGCGAGAAGCTCGACCCATCCAAGATTGGCCTCTCGCCTTCGAAAATGCAGGCGGATGAGGGCTGGAAAAAGTTCACCGAGTTCTGGGAAGCGATTCCGCCGATGGCACCCTGCGACATGCAGGCGGACGAAACATACGCGAAGATTTGCCCGTATCTGCCAGATTTTTGCTTCTGAGCACCCCGTGTATGCGCGCCTTGGCGCACCTACGACCGCACCGTCTGTTTGGCGCGTGAGATCTGGGTGATCTGCCGGTTTTGCTTGATCGATCGGAGCGTAATACAACTCCCCGTTCCCGCCGACGAGACATGCATGTGCGGGTCGTCGTGTGCGCCGCACGCTCTCGGTCGCTAAGACTCTCCGCCTTCCTCTCTCTCTGACTCTGTCCCTCCTATCCGGATACCCAAAGCGGCCAAAGTTTATCAGGATATGAAACTCTAGAACCTCGAGAACCTCGAGAACCCCTCTCACTGTACACTGACTCTAACCCTCTCCCCCCTCCCCCCCTCCCAGCTCCCTCTCCCTAATAGAGAGCTCTCTCTCTCGGGTGCGTCCTCATCAGCAGCAAACGCATCCTTGCTGGCGTTCCGAGTGCGTTCACACTGTAAGCAATCCCTAGACGGGCCACCATTGCCGACGTCTCCCAGTGAGTGAGACGATGATGGCGAGAGGACTATAGGGAGAGAGGGGCTGAGAGGGGGAGCGAGCCGATCCTGTACGACCGTGTTTGTTATCGATTGTTATGACCCCCCCCAATGGACACACCAGAGAGGGCGTACTCGAGTACCAACGCTCGTGCAAATTGGAGCACTTGGAGTGCAGTCATCAACCGCACATCCAGGGCCGGGGAGCTAAGAAGCGCACCCAGCGGGCCGGATGATTGGCATCGGGTTACGGGCTAGAGAGCCCTAGCCCCGGGGGTGCGCGTTCGCAGGGAAAGGGCCTTAAAGTAAACACGGTTCTCCGAGGGTTGGTCTGCGCTTTGGGCTTCCCCACATTCGCACGCTTGTTTCTCACATCAAGGTTGCGCGTCGCCCTGACACGACTTGCTGTGCAGCCATGGCCCAGATGCCAACCTGCAGAAGAGAAGTCGCCTGACACTGATGGGCACCGCCACCAAAGGCTGGGAGTGGTCGCGTCGCTGCTTCAGCGTGAGGAGATCAACAAGCCGGACAACGATGGCGCAACAGCGCTGATGTACGCCGCCATCTCCAGCCACCCCGCTATCGTGCTCCGCCTGCTACGGGTGGGAGCAGATACGACGGCGCGCGGACGACATGACCGCGCTGCAGCTGGCCAGGGAGATGGGCCACGCCGCGTGTGTGCGCGCCCTCAAGGAGCATGCGGCGACGGCGGAGGCGGCTGCGGCAGAGGCGGAGGTGAGAGCGGCGCAGGAGGCGGAGGCGGCGGCTGCGGAAGCACAACAAGTCGACCGGTGTGCCACCATGACAAGGCGCGCCTGGCAGCGCCGCACATACAAATCCACGCGGATTCGCCCCATCCTCGCGCTCGGCGGGATCCCGCCAATGACGACGCCGTAACCTCTATGACTACTGGCAACTAACGCGTGGTCGCACACGCTTCGTGGGGATGCTTTACACTTGTCGGAGGACGTTAACTCGCCGCGCGCGCCACCCCGTGCACAGCACGACACCAGTGCGGCCCTCACCCCGGCCCCCGCCTGCCGCCTCGGCCGCAGGCGCGCGGCTCGGTGCGCATCAGCTATTCCTCACGCCGTCGTGGTGGGCCTCGCCGCTCGAGCGCAAGGACGGCTAGCAGGTTCACTCCACTGCCCGGCCTCCTGCTGCCCAATGGTTGCCCGTCTGTGTGGTTCGCGCGCGGAGCCGGATAGGACCGCCACCGCCTCCCAAGTAACGTTGTTGGTCTCTCTATATAGCGGAAACTCCTGGTTCCTGCGTGTTTGCGAAATTCTCCTAACCTACAAGAAAAAGAATGTTAAAAGAAAACTCCTCTCGGCACGGAACAGGCAGAAAAAGAAAATCTAAGCACCCATTTGAGCCCCGAGCCGCCCTCGCCGTCGCGCGCTCAAGCACCCTTGCGGCCTTTGCGCACCTCGCCGGAGCGATCGCGGGCAGAGGCGTCGGCAGACTGGCTGAGGCATGAGCCTTCAGCATGCCAAGGAGAAGACGGTGCTCGAGGTGATCAAAAAGGTCGAGGAGAACGACCGGCGGACGCAATCGATAGACTTGTCCGGCTCATCCGTCTTCCGTGAGAAGTCTGTCAAGCTGAGCGCGTCGCTCGCCGATGCGCTGAGCCGCAACACACGGCTCACAGCGCTCGACCTCTCCAACTGCTCCATCGGCGACGTCTCTGCGAAGCAGCTGTCGGCGGCGCTCGCAGACAACGCCACACTGTCCGCTGCTAGATGGGGAGACGCCGCCACGCAGCCGGCACTCGCGATTCGCCGCCGCATCGCAGTTAGCTGCCTCACGCCTCCACCCACGGAGACGTCCAACAGCAACGCTCGGCGTCAGCCGGCTCTCTATCCGCCGCCACTAGTACTGGCGCTGCTGCTGCCGCCGGTGCTGCCGCTGCTGCCGCCACTGCTCGGGCTCTCAGCCGGCCCTGTCCTCCTCCGACGCCCCGCTGCAGGTTCGAGCTGAACCTGTCGTACAACAAGCTCGGGCGGCAAGGCCTCATGGACATCGCAAAGGCCGCACTCTCCCCTACTTCCCCTCTCTCCCCCTCCGCCGCCACTGCCGCACAGCGCCGCAACCGCTGCCTTCACCACCGCCTCCACCGTCATCGCCTCTCCGCCTCTGTGTCGGCGCCGCCTCTCTGCCGGCCCTCCGTCGCCGACGCCCGCGGCCCGCGCCCTCGCGACGCCAGGCCCTCTCCACCAACGTCGGCCTCAAGTCCGTCTCGCTGGCGTCGCACCGGGTCGACTCGTCTGTGGCGCACGCCTACGTGCAGATGTTCTACACGAACGTCACCCTCCTCACGCTGACGTGCGGGCTGCACCCGCCTCGCCCCTCCCACCCCTCTATCCCCTCCCTCCCTCCCCCTCCCCCTCCCTCCTCCTACCCTCCCCGGGCCTCCGCCCTTCTCCCGCCTCTCTCCCCCCCGCGGTGCCCCTCCCCCCTCTCCTCCCCCCTCGGCGAGCGGCTCCCACCAGTAAACCTGCCGCCCGCAGCTGGGACCTCCGCCCGCCCCGCCGCCCGCCCCGTCCGCGGCCCCTCTCCAGCCCCTCCCCTCCCAGCCTCTCCCCTCTCCAGCCCCTCCCCTCTCCAGCCTCCCTCGTGCGCGCCGCGGCAGGTGGGACGTTAACCTGCCCGCCTTCAACCTGAAGCTCACCGAGATGATCAACCGGAACAACGAGATCAACCGGCTGCTGCTCGAGGGGAAGGACTACCGCCCCAAGCTGCCGCTCGAGATGAAGGACGACCCGCCCGAGCTCGTCGAGCGCCTCGTGCCCGAGATGGGCGACGAGGAGTTTGGCATGGAGCTGGGCGGCGCAGGCACGACGCTGTGGTGCTCCGTCTCCGGCCGGTGGGAGCTCGGCACGCTCAAGGGGTCGCAGAAGAAGGGGATGGCGGCGGCCAAGCTGGTGGTGGAGGTG